TGCTGAAACTGCCCAGCACTGACTACAGGAAGCCCGAGGCAGAGTTGCTCTGCCCCAGGCTTCCTGGAATCAGCTGCTGATCAATTTCAGCAGCAGCTGACTTGGGGACGCCTTTTGTTCTTAAGTTGAATCTGTATGTAAGTCGGAACTGGCATCCAGATTCAGCCGCTGAATCTGGACACCAGTTCTGACTTACATACAGATTCAACTTAAGAACAAACGTACAGTCCCTATCTTGTACGTAACCCCGGGACTGCCTGTACTTGTGTTCATTTCCTCCGGGGCACTTGGTATTGGCCACTGTTGGAAGACAAGATACTGGACTAGATGCATCTTTGGAGTGACACTTGGGGCCACTGTTTTGTTCCCATGCCCTTCTAAGGACCACTTACTTGGATAATTCCACACAACCCGTATTAAGATTGCACAGTTAGGATTCACGTAAAATTAATTTACAACCATGTAGGGGAGAAAGATGAGAATAGTCATTAATCACAGAGACTGGCAGTGCATAGGGTTAAGGTTCAGTAATGTAACCTTAATATTGGTATTGTCTGGTGGTTTTTTTTTTGTTTGTTTGGTGCAAATTGAACATAGGGGTCTTTAAGGAATATGCATCCTATGGTAAGACTTCCTTTCTTCCTGTGCAGAAAGATGCAAACTTTCCCTTCCTTTCTCTGATCTTTTTTGTAGTTTATATTTGTCAGACTCTCCTCTGCCCTCCGGTTTTGGCATGTTGTTAAACTCCAGGGCATTTGAAGGTTACTCTTAGTAGGTCTTTCCCTGAAAATTATCAATTTTTCTTCCTGGAACTCTGACTTGCTCAACTCAGTATTTCTGGTTTGTGAATGTTGTACTGTGGTAGGCCTCTATTAGGCAGGATTTAGTTTTTAACCTCAGACTGTATGCTAATAATTTGTTTGTATTGTGATAGTCACTAAGATCACCTTTATCTTGATTGGGACCTTTTTTTTTTTTGTTTAAGGTATACAGGTATGTTCAAAGACACTATCTCTGGTTTGAAAACCTTACAGTATAAAACCTCAGAGTGACAGATCTGGTGCTGTCTTTCTAGAGATGTTCCCCATATAATTGGCAAAAGTGGATCTAGAAGAGAAAATCTTCCAACAAGACAGCTTTTTGTATTTGATACTTAGAAAACCAAAGTTTGCCAATTACAACTATATTTCTTTTTGCTTTACAGATTGTGAGTGAATTTTGGATGAAGTTATCTAACTAACTTGTCGTCATGAGCAGAAGCAAGCGTGACAGCAATTTCTACAGTGTAGAGATTGGAGATTCTACTTTCACTGTACTGAAACGATATCAGAATTTAAAACCTATAGGATCAGGGGCACAAGGAATAGTGTGGTAAGTTTTCTTTAAATTTGAGCATAAATAATCTTCACTTACTTTAGAAGAGAAGATTGAAAGTGTGAGGACTACTGTATTTTCCGGAAAAGTAGGGTAGAGTCATTAGGATGGAGAATGATCTGTAAATGTTTGAGTGAAAGAATTTGATTCTCAAATTGAGGGACTAATTTAATGACATGTAATAGCCCATCCCTCTTGTACTCAACCAGAGCAGTTTGCCTCTAACCTAGAACCTCCCCTCTCATTTGGGTTTCAAATACTGCCAATTATGTGATAGTTTGATTTAGGGATGTTAATTCAATAATTGGGTTCCCAGGGGTGGGGATGGTAGCTCTTGAGGAGCCCCCTACCACTTCACGCCACTGCAGGAGCTGATCCATGAGGGGGGGGGCAGCTGTTTTAAAACCAGCTCCCCTCTCAGACTGGCTACCTGTCACCCAGCGCTGCTGTCTCTGATACAGCAGAACTGAACTGGACTCCCTGCCCACTTGGCTCCTAATACACTTTAAAAGCAGAGCTGCAGTGGGGGTAGGTCCCAGACTTGGCATGAGCCAGGAGTGAGCCGGCCAACCTGCTAAAAATTTACTAGTGGTAGAGGGCAGGGGAGAATACATATAGTTCTATAGCATTAACCTATAAGCTTTTGCTTATTGGTTAATCTGTTAATCAACTACACTACTACATCCCTAGTTTGGTACATTTGGGAAATGTAAATGAGGGTTTGTGAGATTAGGATAGTGCTAAGTATGATATACTGATTTTCCCTGTGTGACTTAACCGAACTCTGCAATGGAGTAGAAGCTAGCATTGTTTGATTGTATAGTCTTGATAGACTACATGTTCACAGTTCTCAGAGTAGCTTGGCGGCATTAACCTGCAGCTGACACTAAATCAGAAGATACTGCAGATACCAAGAGGACATAGAAATGACAAACTGAATGACATTAGGAATGTGGGCAAGAAATAAAGTTGCTTGAATCTCTACAGGTGAATGTTTTATTCAGTGCTTACAAACTACTGTGTAAATTTCTGTAATCTAGACAAAGGCAAGCTAATCTATTTGATTAAATTCAAATCATGCAGGTGAGACACTTGAAGAGTAACAGTTTTGAATGAGGTATTATTAGGGGTGGGAATTACCAACACAGTAAAATGGGTGCTTGCACTATGATGTGGTATCAAAAGAGCTAATGTGAATTCTGGATGAGCCTGCATTGTCATGGAAAAGGACAGCGACAACTCTCTTTGTAGTTACATTCAGTTTGTATCTCCTTAATATCAGAAAAATATATTTAGAATGGATAGACCATTAACCAGTGTCACATTCCTATCTGCTCTTTGTAGTTACATTCAGTTTGTATCCCCTTAATATCAGAAAGATATATTAAGAATGGATAGTCCATTAACCAGTGTCACATTCCTATCTCTGAAATGGGTACAATACTCTTCCTTATTGTTCCCATCTGAGGAAGTGGTTTTTACGCAAGAAAGCTTATGCTCAAGTAAATCTGTTAGTCTTTAAGGTGCCACAGGACTAAGATGGTTACTCCACTGAGTCTTTCTTCTTGCTGAGATAGAAGAGCATGTTTTAAGGAATAACTGATTTATAAAACACTTTTAACCCAGGAATTACCATCTTGATGACATAACAGCTGAGATAGAAGAGCATGTTTTAAGGAGTAACTGATTTATAAAACACATTTAACCCAGGAATTAACATCTTGATGACATAACCATGGTTTATTTTTAATTGCAGTGCAGCCTATGATGCCATCCTGGAACGAAATGTTGCAATCAAGAAGCTAAGCCGGCCATTTCAGAATCAAACCCATGCTAAACGAGCCTACAGAGAGCTGGTTCTCATGAAGTGTGTAAATCACAAAAATGTAAGTGAAATGTCTTTCCTTAAACATTTGTGTTAAGAAAAAGCCTGATAAATGTAAGAGTAAAGGCATCATAAGGAAGTAACACCTTATATAAGCTGAAGGGTGGCCTGTCAAAACCCAGAGTATTGGAGAATGTTTCCGAGCACCACCACTGTGTTTTTCCATAATTCTTGTCCCCACCCTTGCTTCCATGCTGAAGGCAGGAGACATAGTGCTGCTCTGCTAGCTGTGGTATAGGCAGGCACTTGGATGAAGTACTACAGGTAACTTCAATCTCCCTTCTGTGCTGCATCTGCTGAAGAGTTTGCTTAGGAAGGATAGAAGAGATAGCAGATTTTGATGTGTGAGTTGGAGGTCTTGCAGGACACAAATGGAACTTTTCAGATTCTGGTTATGGCCATCAAATAAAGCAGAGATGCTGATAGGCCAAATGGCTGCTTATCAGAATTGCCCTGGAAATAGCTGGTAGGAGCCAGCTCCTTGTTTTGCTAGAAGCTGTACGCTCTAGAGCCTGCACCCAGTGGCACCGACTACAAGCACTGGTTTCAGGTCAGATTGGGATTTAAAAAACTGTGACTCTCTCTGGTCAGATTGGGTAATTTCTGATCGCCACCTCTTCATGGGCTGGCATAGCGGTGGCTGCGTGCCCTGTTTCTGCTAACCACTGCCACATTGCTGCGCCGTGTGCTGAGGTCTTAACGTGCCAACAAGTCTCAGTGCATTTTGTTCTGCATCGTGCACAGTATGGCTAGGATGGCTGCTAAGAATGGGGAACGAAGTCATCACCGTGCTAACCTCGCAGCCAGGAGGTGGCTGGAGATGGACTGTGGGCGTGGGGTATGCCCCCACAAGGCTGAGCCCCAAGGACAAGATGTGGCTCTCACAAGTTTGGAAGGGAAGTGTTGTGTTCAGGGCTGGCTTGAAAATGACTCGACGTTCCTGGGTTGAGTTCAGGTTGGGTTCACGTTGCTGCCCTTTTGTCCTGTCCGGGGCGTTTGTGAAATGCATGGCACCATTAGCTGCTTACCTCAGATGTTCGGGGGACAGGTTCCAGATCTTCCCACATCTCAACGACTGGCTCATAAAGGACAGGTCTCTGAAGCAGGTGCGAAGGAGCCTCGATCTGCTGCATGCCACCTGCAGTGATCTGGGCCTGTTAAACACAGAAGAGTCTGCATTAGGGCCAATCCGACACCTAGCTTATCAGACAGTTCTCAACTCCACATGGGCTAGGGCTGGCCTGCCTGCCTGCCAGAAGTGCATTTCAGGCCATTGTGGACTTAATCTCCTACGTAAAGGCTCACCATGGCCCACGTGTCTGTGGCTGGTAAGCCACATGGCTGCGTGCACATACGTGGTCAGCCATGCCCAGCTTCATCTGAGGCCTGTACAAACATGACTGGCCTCAGTTTACATTCCTAAAGGCACCAGACTGGACCATATGGTCATGGTGTCAAGTCTGTGGACTGGTGGCAGGATCTCAGGTCAGTTCTGCGGGGACTCCATCTACGTTGCTCACCCTGGTCTCAGACACATCGGATCTGGGCTGGGCAGCCTACTGGAGTGAGCTGAGCACCCAGAGTGCTGGCTACAATGTGACCTAGCCCTTCGTATCAGTTTCACAAGCACAGCTCCAGCGTTAATCTTGCATGCATGAAAATCTTCTCCTTTTTATGTTGAATGTGGTGGTAATTGTAGCATGGCATTTATAAAAGCAGTAACTTGGTTGCCTGAATGATTCTGCTGTAAAACTGTTTGTGCCTCCTACAATGAAATGGTAAGGCCAGTGTCCAGTTTCTGCACAGGCAAGCAAAATCTATGTGTTGACCTTTCTTGTGAGGTTTTAAAATTTCTCTCCTCAGATAATTGGTCTGCTAAATGTGTTCACACCACAGAAATCCCTGGAAGAATTTCAAGATGTGTAAGTCTAATTTTTACCCATGCATATAAATATTTAGTTACTTGTCATAGACATATGCAGTAGAATGGATCTCAGACAATATACCATATCTTCTAATGACTCTTTCCTTGTTGCTTCATAAGTTACATAGTGATGGAGCTCATGGATGCAAATCTCTGCCAGGTGATTCAGATGGAGCTAGACCATGAACGAATGTCGTACCTTCTTTATCAAATGCTGTGCGGTATCAAGCATCTTCACTCTGCTGGAATTATTCATAGGGTTAGTGGTATACTATGTTTTAAAAATACAGCCTATTGTTCTTGTCATCAGCATTAAGGGTCCAGGAAAAAACCCTATTAATATGGAAAGCATGTATATACTTTTAAAGTCGTGCTGTGGTGGGTGGGTGTGCATGCAAACACGCTCTCAGATGTGTGTCTGTAAACTTGAAACAAGTCTGAATCTATCCTCAACTGGATCTCAGTTTGGCTAGACTAAACTGTCTAAAATCTGTATAATGGATTGCATTACCACCTCTAATTTGCAGTAGAATTCTTGTCCCAGTGGATATCAGAAGGAAAGTATACCTGGAAAGAATTACTTCTTACACTAATTGGTTAAACCGACTATGCTCCCGTTCCATATTTTGGTAACCAAATCTGAAATTCTGTATATTTTTAAACTGCCATAATGTAATGTAATCTTTATTTTGGCTGTTTGAAAAGTAACAGTTACATTACATACCTCTAAAAATTCTTTGCATAATCAAATATTGCCTAGTACTGTGGCTGAAACAATACAACTGTGTTGCTTGGAAAAAAATCTATCCTGTAAGCCTCAGAATGTTTCCTCTTGTGATATTTATATTAAGTCAAGGTTGCTTAATTAGGCACTCCAATCAGGGAAATAGGGAAGTTCAGGTTGTCTGTGCATTACAAATTTGTGTAACATAATTTTCTAGTAACATAATGACCTGAAGAAGAAGGTCTGCCCCACGAAAGCTCATCACCTAATAAACTATCTTGTTAGTCTTTAAAGTGCTACATGACTGCTTTTTTTTGTTTGTTTTACCATAATTTTCTAGAGTTCTTAATAAAATACTGATATTTTTGACAGTCTTAGAAATACATAGCGTCTTGTAATACTTTGCTTGCTCTTCTAGTCTGGACCCCCCCAAAGCTCTGGTGTGCGAGGAGAATGTGGGGAGTATCTTTCCCCATCTCATTCAGGGGGAGGGCACCTCAGTGAAGGTTTTGTTTCATTTTTTTGCTTCTCACTTGTGTGCGGCCCCCAACAAGATTTTGGAAAATGGTCGAGGGCTGCGCTCTTCAGTGGTATTAATGGATGAGGTGCAGGGTCTGGGATGGAGGTGGGGTGCAGAAGGGAGCTTGGGGTAAAGGATTGGGGTGCAGGAGGGAGAATGGAGTCCGGGAGGGAGTTTGGGTGAAGAAGGCAGTTGTGACCCTAGGGCGGGGGACTAGGGTGCAGGGGTTTGGGATGTGACCTAGAGGAGGAGGGGATTGTGATCTCGGGCAGGAGATTAGGGTGCCAGATGTAGGAGGGAATATGGATGCATGTGGAGTAGCGGAGCAGGAGTGGGGGGCAAAGGGTTGGGGAAGGGAAGGAGTAGGGTGCCAGAGGCAGGTTCTGGCCAGGAGATTTACCAGCCAGCAGACAAACCAGCCTTCCTACTTGCCCGCAGAACTTAAAATGTTTCTGCCTGCTCGGCCATGTGCTTGAACAGGTAACTGAGCAGGAGGATTGTGCTTCATGGCTGCCAATTAATCAAAGAGGCAGCTCCAATTGGCCAGTTTCTGTCCAGAAACCGGCCAATGGGATTGTGCTGGGAGCAGGAGCAGCGTCTGGATGTTCCCGCCTTTCCTTCCCCCCGGACTCATAAAGAGAGAGTGCCCCTGGGGCTGCAGGGCAGGCAGGGGAACCTGCCTGGGGCTCCCCACTGCTTCCACGGGCTGGATTCTGCCCAGGCCTGATGTAGCTCATAGTCTCCCCAGATGCTTTACAAAGTTGAGTTTAAAAGGGGCAATGGAAAATCAAAATGTGATTGTCGAGCTCAGCTGAAGAATTTCAGTTGCAAATCTTCCAATTAAAATGCCTTGAAACTGTACAGGTATTTTCCTGTTTTTAAAGGTGTGTGGTTAACTTCCCGAAGCTTTTTGCAGTGATACAGTCAGTAGTTCCATTTTCATTAAAGTTGGTAAACTAATGACAGACCAAATAATTATTGCCAACTAAACCTTTGTAAGCATGAATTTCCTTCTGATCATTCAGAGAAATTTCTACAGCAAATCAAGAGGTTATGCAATCCAGATTGGTATAGTTACTACACGGTAATTCACTTGAAGAGATGTATTGTAACTATGAAAAGTTTTGCTTTATTAAATTGTAAGAGTTATTTCTAATAATTCAACTGTCCTTGTTCCACTTTGTGTATTATAATTTAATTGAGCAGTTTGTAACTCTTGTCTCAGTGCTAACATTTCACACTAACCCCAAATTATTTGAAATATTGCTAACCTACCTAGTAACCTTAGTTTTTATTTTCTAACTCTACTTGTTACATAAACTGCTGAAGACTAATGTCAGAGGTTTAATTCTTTAGTTGGCAGAAGATATGAAAATTAATTAATATAAGAGAAAAAATATTGGAAGACAGAAATGGCCCAGTTTTTCATTTTTTATGTCAGTGGTTATTTTCTTTAAGATGTGAACTACAGAGTGTTTTGTTCTTGTCTTAGCGGTCATATATGATGTTTCTTTTTAAGGATTTAAAGCCCAGTAATATAGTAGTAAAATCAGACTGCACTTTGAAGATTCTTGACTTTGGACTGGCCAGAACTGCAGGAACTAGTTTTATGATGACGCCTTATGTAGTGACTCGTTACTACAGAGCACCTGAGGTCATCCTAGGGATGGGATACAAAGAAAACGGTCAGCAAATATAGTCTTTCTTTGACATAGCTTTTATTTTTTGTTTGGCAACACCACATTTTACATGTTAATGTTTTTCGAGCTGTAGAAACTTTTTAAAGTAACACTGACCAAAATATAGAATATGGTTACACCCAGTAGTTCATATTAAATAAAAGCTATTACAAATGTTTACATTTGGTCTCAAATAGAAATTGGGGGTCTTGTTTGTTTAAAAAGATAAATAACCTGTTTGGGACAGTGGTTTGTTTTCACCTGCAAAAAGTGAGAAATGCACATTTTCTATATGTACTACCTGCCTTGATCTACAGAATATCCTGAGTTGTAAGTGCATCACTGAACATGTTGATAACTGGAATGTGAAAGCAAATAATTCTCCTAAATTGGCATAAAAAGGCTGCATTGGAATATAGTGGTTCTTGAAAGAGACACTCCACGAAGAGGGATATGCAAGCTGAGCCCACTTACTGCTGGCATTGATTGGTTTCTGTTTTAAAATGTGCCAGTTCAGTTGGGATCCATAGCAAGTTATAAGTTTAGAGATCCAAGGAAGTCCATGAGGTAGGCCAGAGTTTTCTTGCTGGCTTTTTTTATCACCACAGGTTGGTGATACTTTCCCTCTGGCCCTTCATCTGTAATATATTAGTAGTAGTAAAAGAAGGCAAGAGGGATGCTAGACAACATTTGCTGGAGCGGAGTTACGCATTCAGGGAATATCAGGAATGTGTAATACCTTTCGCCCGGTGTGTAATACCCTGGCCATCATTCCTGAAATACTAACATTCTGTTCCCTGTTCTGCCAATGGCTCAGTGGCCTTGCCTATTCATGGGGAAAATTTTCCCTTTCTTGCTGTCACTAGTTCAGGTCCACCATAGGGGAGCCCAGTGTGTGAGGGTCACGAGCTGCTCGGGCCTTATTGATTAGACCAACTCTGAGTGTGGTGCTTAAAGTGCTGTCCGCAGTTATCAGCGGTGTGTTCCTTGGTTGGCCCCACGGGGCAGGCAGCAGGTTGGGCTGCGCGGGGCTCGCCGGGTGGGGGCAGGCTCTCATGGTGCGTGAGCGGCTGGCACTCCCCCTTCCCTGGAAGCAGGTTGGGCTACACCGTGCCCGGCAGCTGTGGAAGGAGGCGACACTCCTCCCTGCACGCACAGGAGGCAGATGGGGGCTCGGAGTCCTTTGGGACTTTGAATCCATGGGAACTTAGTTTGGGGGGAGAGGCAAAGCAGCCTCAGCACCTGCCCCCTGAGGGTGCCATGGACTAGACCCCTGTGGGACCCCACCCCCTGCAAGGCTGGACACCCTGGGGTCAACCACCCACCCATCCGCGCCTTGGTGTGCTGCATCCCTGGCCCTCCTTTTCCCTGATCTCCCTCCCCCCCAGCCACCTTGACCCCAGCCTTATTCCCAGGGCTCCCTGCCCTTCATCTCCCGGAACCCCCTCAGCCACTCTGCCCCCCAGTTTTAGCCCCAGGCACTCTTTGTACCCATCTCCCTGCCTCTTGCCAGAAACCCTACCCCCAGCCTGCTCCTGCATCCACAGTTGCTTCTTGTACCCTCCCTTGATCCTGCTCACTCCCCCTGGCCAGACACTCTCCGACCCTACTCCCACCCTGCTTCTGCACACTATCTTGCACCCTCACCCCCTTCTATACCCCACCTACCTCCCAGATCCTGCACCCCATCCCTATCATTGGTGGGTACCAGTGACATAGAGAAGGGTAGCAGACATATCCTGGAGGCCAAATTTAGGCTGCTAGGAAAGAGACTGAAATCCAGGACCTCTGTGGTGGCATTCTCAGAAATGCTTCCAGTTCCACGCACAGAGCCAGATAGGCAGGCAGAGCTTCAGAGTCTTAATGCGTGGATAAGATGATAGTGTAAGGAGGAGGGGTTTAGCTTTATAAGGAACTGGGGAAACTTTTGGGATAGGGAGAGCCTATATAGGAAGGATGGGCTCCACCTAAACCAAAGTGGATCCAGACTGCTGGCAGTTATCATTAAAAAGATCGCAGACCAGTTTTTAAACTAAGAGCAAACTAAGCAAATGATGAGCAGAAAGAGGATTTGAACAGTTTCAACAGTGTAGGAATATAGGATTTTAATCTGTTCAATTGAATACTGTGTACAGATGTGGTCTCACCTCAAAAAAGATATTTTGGCCTTAGAAAGGGTTCAGAAGAGGGCAACTAAGATGATTAGGGGTTTGGAACGGGTCCCATATGAAGAGAGACTAAAGCAACTGGGACTTTTCAGTTTAGAAAAGAGGAGACTGAGGGGGATATGATAGAGGTATATAAAATCATGAGTGGTGTGGAGAAGGTGAAGAAAAGTTATTTACTTGTTCCCATAATATAAGAACTAGGGACAACCACATGAAACTAACGGGCATCAGGTTTGAAACAAATAAAAGGAAGTTCTTCTTCACACAGCGCATAGTCAATCTGTGGAACTCCTTGCCTGAGGAAGTTGTGAAGGCTAGGCCTATTACAGGGTTTAAAAGAGAACTAGATAAATTCATGGAGGTTAAGTCCCTTAATGGCTCTTAGCCAGGCTGGGTAAGGAATGGTGTCCCCAGCCTCTGTTTGTCAGAGGGTGAAGATGGCTGGCAGAAGAGAGATTGCTTGATCATTACCCTTTCGATTCACTCCCTCTAGGGCATCTGGCATTGGCCACTGTTGGCAGACAGGGTACTGGGCTAGATGGACCTTTGGTTTGACCCAGTATGGCCATTCTTATGTTATTATCCCTCTCACTAGCAGCCCTATCCTGCACACGGAACCCCTCATTTTTGTCCCCATCCCAGAGCCCAAAGGGGTCCATAAAATCCACTAATTTCAGAACCCCAGAAGAGTAAATCTGGCCTATGGGAAGCCCCGAACCTCAGTCCTCCCTGTCCCTTCCCTTCCCCTTGCCCCGTGGGGCTGGAATGCCAGAGGAGTGAGGTGTCTCAGTTGGGAGCTACATCAGTGAGGGTTAGGAGTTTTTGGAGTTTTTTTGCTTCTCATTTGTGTGGTCCCCAGCTGATTTTTTTTTCCCTGTGGGTCAATGGCCCCTGATGCACAAAAGTTTCCTCACATCTGCCATAAATGAAGAAAACTTTGAAACTTTTTGTGTTGGACATAAATTAATATTTTACTTAAAATGAAGTTTGACAAACTAACATGAGAAAGTTAAAACCCTTAATCTATTCAATCATTTAAATTAAACCAGTCTCCCTAGCTGCAGCACTAACAAAATGGCTCCAGCATAATTATGTAATTAATGGTGAGTTTCCATTAGCAACCGTTGGTCCGTGGAAAGGTTTATATTGAGCCACGTGGTGCACAGCCAAAAAGTTTGAGAACTACTGCTCTAGGCTTATCACAGCTACTGTTTGGGCAAATCAGTTCGTCTTGATTTCTGCAGCTTGTTTTAGGATTTACAAGCGCAGGTACAAAAACCAGTCACCTGCTCTTATGAAGGCTTCAGCGGTACTGATGCAACTACACCACTGTAAGCATGCTTGTGCTGCTACTATAAGCCAACCGGAGAGAGCTCTGTTGGCTTAATTATTTCAGCCGTGAGTGGTGCTGGCTATGTTGGCAGCATAGTGCTGTCCACACTGGCACTTATGTTGGTGTAACTTACGTTGCTGGAGGGAGAAGAGGAGTTTATTCACATCCCAGAGCAGCATAAATTATGACAGCTTAACCTGTAGTGTAGACATTGCCTAAGACAATGATGAAACAGTTACTCCAGTTGGGTGAGTGATTACGTGGTGTTTATATTTTTTTTTCTGAGTCTAGAACTATTTTCCTCCCATCACTGTTAATTTGTATGGGGGCAGGTGTTCCCCCAAAATGCTGTATGAAGGGCTAGGTAAAAGAGCTATGCGTTGTTGTTCTTTAGAAACCCAACGCTGAGTGCGGCTAGCGAGGAATGAAAGTTTTTTTTTCCCCACTCTGAATTTACCTAGCTGATAAGGCTAGGTCAGGCACTTATTTCCTTTTTTCTCCGGGGCTTTAAAGTGGCTAATGAGCAGAAATGTTAAAAGTGAACCTATTTAAAAAACAGAAGTTTTTCCCCGAGTAGCATTCATTAAAAGCAATGTCACACTGTTTGCATTATTATGGCCTGTTGTCTCATACGTAGTTGTACAATGTAAATCCCAACATGGCAGCAGTTTTCCCTTTTAAAAAACAATTTAAAAAATTAAGACTTGTTTTTTGGAGGGCTTATAGTATTACTAGTCTATTGACAGGAATTATAACCTACTGTAGAATGGATAGAATATAATGGTTAGTACAGATGTCTGATAAAATAACTTGTATACTTAAACATTTAAATGTCAGATTTCCTGGTGCACCAAAGCAGACTGAGAGAGCACACTGGTCAGTTAACAAGTGGAAATACAAGCTGGGCAAATTAAGGACCAATGTCATATGGTCACATTCTCCATGGCTGTGTCTACACTGGGCCACTTATTCCGGAAAATCAGCCGCTTTTCCGGAATAAGCTGCGAGCTGTCTACACTGGCCCTTGAATTTCGGGAAAAGCAACGACACTGTACTGTACATAATCAGCCGCTATTCCGGAAAAACGATTCTGCTCCCGCTCGGGCATAAGTCCTTATTCCGGAACACTGTTCCGGAAAAGGGCCAGTGTAGACAGCCCAGTAGTCTTTTCCGGAAAAAGCCCCAATCGCGGAAATGACGATCGTGGCTCTTTTCTGGAAGAGCGCGTCTACATTGGCCACGGACGCTTTTCCGGAAAAAGGGCTTTTCTGGAAAAGCAGCCTGCCAATGTAGATGCTCTTTTTCCGGAAATACTTATAACAAAAACTATTCTGTTTTAAGCATTTCCGGAAATTCATGCCAGTGTAGACACAGGCCATGGGTTTCTTGTTTAGTGGGGTGTGGGTTTTTTTTGGTATGGAATCTTAATTTTTGAAAAAATTTAAAAAGTACCAGACCAAAAAATTGTTAAAATGGAGTTATAGTTCAGCATGTGTTTGTAGCTTAAGGACAAAAAACCTTAAAGGGATCTTGTAGTTATCTAAAACCAAGGATTGTAAATCCAGGAAATTCAGACAACCTTGTAATTTTTTTACCTTTTATTACCACTATTTAATATCAACTTTACTTTCACTTTACCATATGTAGGGATTTTAGACAACAGATCACAATTAAAAGAATAGGAAAAGTGATATTAAAATGTCCCATCAGAATCATCTTGGACCCATGATCTTTTATTCCAAACTTCCTGAGACCATCTCTTAAGGCTTAATTCCATTTTAGCGTCACAACATCTTTGTAAAGAAACCTTTGTAACTGACAGAGTTTTTCAGAGCAAACTTTTGGAATTTTTGAAGGGTGAGCAAAGAATTTGTTTCTAACATGAACTCATTTGAGCCTGTTAAAATCCCTGGTATTTGTTGCATGATCAGAAATCCTTGATGCTCATATACTGTTGTTCTTTGCTCACTCTCCACACAATTGACTTTATCGCTGTGAGCCCAAACTATCTTCAGTATGTTTCAGGTGCATTTCTCTTCAAGAGAGTAAAGGATTGCTTTGCAGGTGAAAAGACCAAAATTCAGAATTTCCATTAAACTGTTGAGAACAAAATTGCACTGTTCTTAAATACTTGAAAACTATTTAAGAAGACAGTGTTAACACAATTTTCAAAAGTGGTGATTTATGTGCCACAACTTATGTAATTATTATCTGGGATTTACAAGCAGTAAACTTTTCAAAAATGAACCAGGCCCTTAATTTTAACACCTAATATGTAAAGTTGTGATTGTAATCAGGAGATTGATTTAGGAAATATTTTAGAGGAACTCTTAAACAAGGGGAAAGGAAATATTTTGAGTAAAAAGTGTCTGGCTGCTGTAGTTTAACTCAGTACTGTTACACATGCTTTCTGTTATGCAAGTGTTCTCATTTAAAACCCATTGTTTTCTACTTCAGTGAAATTCTAAGCTGACAAGGAGTAAATTGTAATACAAATTTATCACTGATTTCAAGAAAACCCTTGCATAAAAATCAGCAACAGTAGCAAAGAAAATTGGGATAGCTGTAAAAAGTAAACTTCTACTGTAGTGGGGATGTCTTCCAAGGTGGCTTGAGTTTTTTTTTAAAGAAAGTGAGAGGTAGGCAGAAAGTCTAAGTACTTTTTATATAAAAACTCGTATTATTATGAGTGTTTGTTTCTTTTGTATCAGACATTATGTTCCATTGTTGCTAGAGGAGTATTTGTCAATCAATCAGTTCTAATCTAACCACTTCCAGGAACAAACTGATCTTTTTAACTGATCCTCTAAAATGCTAAATGATCTTTTATTGCTCTGTTCCCTTTTAATTTAAAGGGAGAGAGGACTGCACAGTAAAGCGCTTTTCAGGAAGTACTTTGCAAAAGTTTCTTCTGTTCCCGCTTAATCAAATTTAACCAGTAACTCTTAAATTTTGCTGTAAAAGCATACACTACTGAAACACACTTTCTTCTTTCAAATGGGAATTTCATTTGCTAGCGTTTAAAATGATTCTTGGAAGCAGAATGAAGCATTTACATACATATATTTATCTTTGCTATTCTGAGCAAATCTGTGTGTGGAAATATTACATATTGTTATTCCAAGCCCCAGAACTTCAAGTTGGGCTTTATACTGACTGATATGTGCACCTCTCTCACTTTATGTTTAGATCGTGTTTTAATCAAAAGGCTATTCTTCTGACTTTTCTTTAAGCCAGATGAAAAGATAATCTTAAAGATACTGTATATTTAAAATAATTTAATTGCTTAATACCATGATGATTTCTTTCCTTTCTGTGCTGTCTGCAGTTGATAGGATGCAGTCATGTTCTGCTTCTTTAATTTTAAATGACCGTTTGCTTTGCTTTTCCTTCTTTTTGTGCTACAAACATAGTGGATTTATGGTCTGTGGGGTGCATTATGGGCGAAATGGTTTGCCACAAAATCCTCTTTCCAGGAAGGGACTGTATCCTTGTGCTTCTGCAGCAGGTTGAATTAGTTAGATTCACCTTTTAATGTTCTGTCATGGAAATGTACATGGGTCAATTTTTTTCTTAAATGGACATGAATTTTTTGTGATACATTTCAAAAATTGTCGAGGTAAGAACTTCAGTAATACTCAGGCTGCATCTAGCAGTAGGACATAGTCTCTGCTGGTATCGTAGTTAGCGCACAGTCACCTTCACTCATTTCCATTATACACGGCTTTTTATAATTACTTTACGTATGTGTGGATTATTTTTTGTTTTATTTTATTTTAATAACTACCTTTTTATGTTAATGTCATTGCATTTTGTTTTCAGTTGACATTTGGTCAGTTGGGTGCATCATGGGAGAAATGATCAAAGGTGGTGTTTTATTTCCTGGTACAGATCGTATCCTTACCTTTGGCCTAGGATGTAGGTTTGAAAGGTCAAAAGTACTGCAGCAATTCAGTTCTGTGTCAGGCTAGTCTGTCTCCTCCTCTGCTGACTGCTAAGACACTGTTTAAATTACTGTTTCAAAATACCATTTGTGAGTTCATGGATTTTTAGTTCTGATTGTCACAAAGATGTTTATGGGAAAAGCATTTGCAAACTAAACAAATAGCTATACTTGCAAAGCTGCATTTAGCAATTCATGCAAACTAACTTTTAGAAAGACGAGCAGCTATCGACACACTGATGGTTTTTTTTACCCCTTTATTTTTACTTTTGATTTTTATTTGGTGCCTTTGTGTTGCTTCTGAGTGTTGCCATAATTAAGTTGAACTTCTTATGTAGTGCAGTCCTTTTATCGGTTATGTGTCTCGGCTATTGTCTAAATACTTCACCAATGTTTTTTGTGTTTGTAAGCAGACAAAAATTAGAAAAAATTCCTAACCAGTCCAGCTAGTGTCACAATTTCTCAGGTTATGCTTTGTGTGCTACTTTGAAGGAAAGCTCCAGTAATGCTTTTCTTAGCTGAATATATATGATGTAAAATGCAATATAAAAGTGAATCTTCCAAGTATCTTTTAGATATAACTACCAGGCCTGTGTTTTTATTCAGTGAATGAGCTTGTAGTGTCTCTCTGGGCATTGCTATCTTGAAGGTACCTCCAGCAGGGACTTGTTAGATGGAAACTGGACTGAAAGAATCTGCATAACCAGTAGACATTACTAAAATCAGAAGTTTTGTTTGAGCAGAGTTCCATTCACTTCCTCCCCAAAACTTTTTGACTAATTTTACTGGTTAAACCAAGCATTAAATTCTGGATTTGTTGGCTTTAAAGGTAAAGTTACTGGAAGAAGCCCAAATCTGTGAACTTATTTCCTATATTTTCAGATTGAAGTAGAATTATCTGTCTTATTCTAGATCATCCAGCTGCCAGGGCTGCAGTTCTAATGACACTGGCCCTGATTCAGCTTCAGTGGAACTTGTTGCGTTCTTAGAATTCAGCACAAGAAGAAGCATATTGAACTATGGCCACTTCCTGTTATGTTAAAAATCAAGAGTCTAAATGTTCAAATATGCACGGCCAGAGTTCAGGTACCTTGAATAAAATAGCTTAATTTTTTCACATCTCCTGAGCATCCCCCGTTTCTGTTTAACTTGATGGGAGCTGCAAGTGTTCAGCGGCCCTGAAAATTAGACCCCTCTTATTTATGGATTTATCTTGTATTCATTCCAGTTTGAAAAACTTGGCTTTAATTTTATTACTTACTGAAGTAATTAAAATTGTTTTGTGTTTAAGACATTTTAAATGAGAACTGCATTAGATTTATGGGGTTTTATTAAATTTGTCTATCTTCCGTAGAAATTTTATAATGTACTCATGGTTGTAATATCTAGCACTTAGGTGAACAGGAGTATAGGCAAAGTTCCCATTGACTTCAGTGTGGCCAGGATTTCAACCCTGGCGTGCACATCTGTTTGGTCCAATGCAACCTCTCTGCTAGCTGGCACACACCTCGTATATTACACAACCAGAGCTCAAGCCATGCTGTCAAGTATATAAATACTGATGAGCGGCGTATGCCTATAATGCCTAACTGATGCCTAGCAACTTTGGTAGTTGAATCTAACAGAACTTGACTGTGTGTGCTCTAGACAGTGATACAAATAGTAAATGTGGTAAAATCAGGAAGTAGGCACTTTATGTAGATTTTTGTTAAACTTATATTTGAGCTTTGCTTTAACTTAGTGGGTTTTTAACTCACTATACTTTCTGGAAGTGTATCCTTTTGGCTGGTCTGGATATTTTATGGGTAAAAACCAATATTAGCTGCACCACTCATCAGCCAAGCTTACAATTATTCATCATCACTGTTGTCTTTGACAAGTTAGTTCTAGCTGATAGTGTCTTGTTTTTTATTACGGCTTGCTACCTTCATCTTTGTTAGATATTTTACATTGTTTTAACATAGCCTTTATGCTGAATGTTAGACAAGCCATGTTTTTCTTAGCTGCTTGAACTTAGATATTGATCAATGGAATAAAGTTATTGAGCAGCTAGGAACACCGTGCCCTGAATTCATGAAGAAATTGCAGCCAACAGTGCGGACTTATGTGGAGAACAGACCTAAATATGCTGGATATAGTTTTGAGAAACTCTTTCCAGATGTGCTTTTCCCAGCTGATTCTGAGCACAACAAACTTAAAGGTAAGATCTTTGTACATGTCAATTGTATCCTTTTCAGCATTGTATTTGCCTTGTGAATGAAAGTTTAAATTTTGTCCATTGTCAGATGAATCTTTTAAAGAATTAAGCTTTAAAATGGTGTTATCTAGGGATGGGATGTATGTGCTGGGATTACTTTTGATTCTTGAGCTACTGCTGCATATTTTTGTAGCAGCTTCTTTTTTACCCAGATACAGACATTTTCCTTCTCAATCAACACTACAAGTACTTACAGAGGGATGTGGAGGAAATGAGGTGTGGAGGGAAAAGGCAAAAAGCTATGTAGCCAGAATTCTGATTTAATTTGAGATAATGTACATCTTCTTTGTATGCTGTCTAGCTGTGCCTTTTGGCTCTGGGATCCCTTCATTCTGGAAATAAGAATGTCTTGCTATTAGAAGTCAACTGCTGCTTAGCACAGCAGACTAGCATGGACTCGTTATATCATGTACTCTCGCAAAAGACGATGAACCTGGCAGTTTTTTGAAGCAAATATGGTCTATTGTTGCCTGGTCTTATGGAGCTTTGGAAAAAATTGCTTGAGGCTGAAAAGGAGGCTACAAGGTGCTCGCTATTGTAGCCCCTGCCTGTCCACAGGACAGCCTAGGTTGGATCTCTGAATGGAGATTTGTTATTTCCACTGCCAACCACGGAACGGGCTGACCAGTGCTATGACCATAGACCGCTTAGTGGTAAGAAGATTCCTGAGAAGAGGAAAAGAAAAATGGAAATGTTCAGAAATCTCCTCTTTGCCTCTGTGCTGCTTACACGTGGTGAATGGATTGGGTTTTTTTGTGGGGTGGGGGGGTGTGGTACCATTTATGTGTGCAGTCAGGGAATTTTGGAAGCTCCACATTATAAACCACTGGCAGTGATGCAGGCTCTTAAACTGAATTCACTGAACTTGAGCGTGGCTTCTCTCCTGTGGCTCACTGTGCTGCCTACAAGATCTTACGTGTGCTTATTTAGACATGGATGTTTAGAGAAAGTAAAGAGTATATATTTAGTGCTGAAAATAATTCACCATTGGAACAAATTACCTAGGGCAGTGGTGGATTCTCCATTACTAACCATTTTATAAATTAATATTGGATTTTTTTTTAAAGATCTGCTCTAGGAATGATTTGGGGGAAGTTCTCTGGCCTGAGCTATGCAGGATCTCAGACAAGATTATTATAATGGTCCCGTCTTTTCTGAATCTTAGGCACTATATATTGAAAAGAGATAATCTAGTATGTCCATCTCTTAACACCACCACTTCCAAGCAACTCTGAGATTTCCCCTACATTATTTTACCTGTTGATTTCTGAGTACTCACGTAATATGGATGCCACCAGTTATCGTGAGAGACTTGTTCTGCAGTTCAGTTCCAGAACCAGAAATATTTCCCCTGATTAGTCTGTAGACATGTTTTCTTAATTTCATCCCTTTACTCCTAATGCTATCTTTGTGGACCACCCTAAATGATTCTTTTCCTCTTTAGTGTTTATGTCCTTCATATTATTGTCAACGGTTGTTCAAATTCCCCCTCCTGTTAATGTCACGAACCTGAACAGCTTGGTTCCTTTTCCCCTTCATTGCTTTTTCAAGTTTCTCTCTGGATTCTCACCAATTTGGTTTCTTTCCAGCACTAAAGTGCCAAATTACAGTAATCGTCGGTAGCTATTGTTTTGCGACAGGAATACAGCATAAGAGTGACTAGTGTCCCAGGTTCATTTTATGATGTGTGCCATCCAAAATTTCATATCAAACTGCAGGCTCCAACCCAATTGCTTTCTTAGTATTTCTAATTTGTTAAAATAAGAATTTTTTTCTAGACGTACTAGTTCTGTATACTTCCCCTTGTTTAATCACATTTTATTTCCTGTCCATCAAGGTTTATTTCTCTGACCTGATGGAAATTTGTTATGCCTCAGTTCTCAGTCTGCTTTCTAACCACCTCTACCTCCAGGTGATCAATAAAAATGTTAAATAAAATTGGACCCAGCTCTGACAATTTGACTGTATGGTCACAGACGTCTCCCTCAGTTTATTGGTGTCTCTCACCCACTTGCTTAGGGTCTAACACTTTGCCATATTTGAGATCAGGAAGGTTTTTCCCCCAGATCAGATTGCCTGAGATGTTGGGGAGTGGGGAGGTTGACTGCTTCTGCAATGTGAGACATGGGTCATTTGATGGTATGAGTAGAAGCCTTTAAATCATAATTTAAGGACTTCAGTAACACAGCCAGAGGTTATGGGCCTATTGCAGGAGTGGGTAGGAGACGTACTGAAGTGTGTAGGAGGTCAAACTAGAGGATCGTGATGATCTCTTCTGACCTTGAAGTCTGGGCCAATCAGCCTTTTTTCATACTTAGTCCAGTTTTCACTGCATGTCACTGTGCGCATACGCAAGCCAATTTGAATCCAATCTAGAGCTCAAGTGCTCTGAATTGACTTATCCTTTATGTGATGACAGATTTATTTTGTGGGGAGGGGCACACTGTATTCTTTCATATTAAAAAATAGTTACTGATTAGATTCTAGTTACCAAGTATCTTTGTTCCCCCTTTGTTTTGATGTCCTCCATCACATGGATTTTTTTTTTTAACTCCTCTGGTAGCTGTCTACCTTCTGATATTTTCCAGAAATAGCCATATCAATAAATCCATCTAGTCACTGAGGATGCATGTATCAGTAAAACTTAAGGCATGAAAACATGTCCAATTGACCTGTTGCCGCCTTTGCAAGAAAGCGGACAGTGCCCAGGTATTGATTAGTAACTCTTCCATGTGAAATTTTGTTCTTGTTACACGTGCAAATTCAAAGCCACTCTTGCCAGTTTTTACTTGGACTTTGCTTATTAATATAGCATATAGTGTCAGTTTTTCTAATTCCTGACTTCCGTTCAGACATTTGTCTTTTTCCTGCTTAGCCTTTTAAATGTTTGTTCATAATATTTAAAGCCTTGTCTAATGTGCATTGAGCATAAACCTAAATAGAAATATTCATTATTCCAGCCAGTCAAGCAAGGGACTTGTTATCAAAAATGCTGGTTATAGATGCTTCTAAACGAATTTCTGTGGATGAAGCCCTGCAGCACCCATACATCAATGTCTGGTATGATCCATCTGAAGCAGAAGCAGTAAGTTCTTAGCGCTGGTCTCTTGTTAATGGGGTACTCTACTGAAGAAAGCAAACTTGGAATGTGGTGATTGGTATCATTGCGTTCCATAATAATGCACTGCTTTCCGGACCTGCAACTGTCAGAATTGTATCTGAAATTGGTAGACATTTGTTACCATTTTCTCTCTAGGGGACAATATTTCAGGCAGGTGTGATTCACTGGTATTTCTATGCATAATCAGGATGACTACACCCACAAATGAGTCATGCAAATATTGCACTTAAAATAGCTCCTGAAAATCAGGCCTTGGATTTTTTGAACCAAATGTTTTCCACGATTATGCCTATGCATACCTGTTGCATTTAACAGGAGTGTGAGCCATGGATTCCTGGAAAGAAAAGAGGAAAAAGGTATTTTCATTAGTTGTGGCAATTTGGTAGTACCTCAACACCTAACAAAAGAAGCTCAAGACCTTGTACTATCAAATGCTACCACTGGTGATTAGTTGAAACATAAAAGTACATCACTTAAACAAAAAAAAAAACTTCCTGGTTATTGGTATAAGATGGAAAATAGCAGTGTCTGGAGAGAAGGGGGGTAGTTGGCTGTGATCTAGTAAGAATTGAAGAAGACATGTCAGTATCCTAAATGGTATTTAATGTAAATGGTGCAAGTAAAATTCTATAGACAATGAACTATTGACACGAAATGCCCCTAAAATGGCAGTCAGGCATGGAGGGTGCTGTATCTGGATAGAATGTCTCCATTTGGCCACATTTATTACTTTGGCCACATTTATATCTGTAATAAGACATAAGAGACTATTAATCACTTGGAGTCTGAAACATGACATCAAATACAGAAGAGTGGCCAGATCTGAGAGGACTGTTTCTAGCAGTTTTGGTCAGGCATAACTCTGTATTTCTCAATGTTTGGGTTGGGATGTTGAATACTGTTGTTGTATGACAGTCTTCCTGTTAGGTAATGTGCATTTTCCCTTTCGTTTCACTTTAGTTGTTTATCATGCATCAATTCTATTTGCAGCCTCCACCAAAGATACCAGACAAGCAGTTAGATGAAAGAGAACACACAATAGAAGAATGGAAAGGTAAGAAGAAGGTTTTTTTTTTTAATTTTTCTTTGGGGGTTTTGCCATCTTTTATAGGATTATTGTGTTGCTGGAGTTCTCTTAAGAAGTTGGAATGATTAGCAGCTTCAGTGTCTTTTCCAGCTCAAACTTGCATATCATTTAAGTGTATGGTCAGATGAGATTCTTATGGTACCTCTTCTGAACTCCTAGGTTAAGTGACTTGCACATAGCATGCATGCAATGCTAAGATTGCCGTGGTCCAGGAGATAAGGAACATGCTTTCATCCCTGAAATTAGTCTAACCGAGGAAAATGACTTGTTGCTGATAATGGCATCAGCTGTGCGTGAAGTGGCCCTGGGCCTGAGCCTGCTTTAAGTGCAAGTTAGCCAAGGACAAGATCATGTGCAGCACTGTTTGTGAAAGTGCAATTGAAGTATTGAGCTATGGCTTTGGATGTGGTTTTATTCCTTAATTGTGCTTTCTGAAATGGTCTGCTTACACTTGGGCCATGTCTGTGGTAGGGAAACTACACCTTCTTGGGGTAAATGCAGCTGGATGTACCACATAGGCATGTGCTCACCCAGCACACTGATGCCCAAGAAATTTGCTTTCCAGTAGCCATAGAAGGGCAGTTTTTGCTCGTAGTGGCCATTGTCCTTTGTTCCCCTGGCTAAGTGAGGCAGCATTGCCCTGACCCTTCCTCAGTCCCGTCTTATCCCCGTGTTTGGAGTTGGAGCTCTGCGGGGTCTAAACCTCCCAACCCTTCAGCTAATTTAGTTTTTCTTAGTACCCTTAGCATTGGCGGGTAAAACCCACTTCTTCAGATGCATGTATTAGCTTAATGCTAGTTCTAGTTGTTTAGTTTCTTCAGTGATGCCCTTATCAGGGTTAAATGTTGTCCTTCGCGTGCGGGAGTGGGTCCCACCAGCAGTCCCTATATGCAGTGTTTGTCGCCTCAGCGAGGCCCACGTTAAAGAGCATTGTGCAATTGCCACATCATTCAAGAAATAGATGCAAGGGGCTTGGGACCTTTACCTAAAGCAGCGCCTGCTTCAACAAGCTATGTGGCCTGCTTCAGAATCAAGGACCTTATCAGGTCGGAGATCACCCTCTGGCGCTCCAAGCGTGCAGCTGTTCTGTGTTCTGGAGCAGGTGCCACGCCGAAGGAATGGTAGAGCCATTTGCCATCATCTGCATGGAAGAAAAGGATGCATATGAAGGACCGAGACTGTTCCTCTTCTGCCTCCCCCAGGAAAAGCATGGACTGGCACAGATGATGCCAGAGCACAGGATGGCATGGGTACCTCTAACCCTCCCCAAGTACCGGTTCTGGACTCTGCCTGTCCATTGTGTGTGGTGTGGACAAAGTGCCAGTAGCCACTGTTTCCATGTCAGCCACACATCCTATCCCATTCCGTCCAACTTGTCCTTTGTTCCAGACTTTGTCAAGGCTGTCCACTGAATGAGCCCAGTGTTCCACTTGCACAGTTGTAGAAGCCGGGCCAGGGCCAGGATTAGTCCAGGAGTCGTTGGGATTGGGACTCTCCTCAGCACTGATGTAGTCAGCTCTGCAAAGTGATCACGACAGCCTTTGCTGCCTTCGATGTCTGTGCTGTCAAACACTCTTCTGCTGCTTCTGCCTTTGGGATTGACAGCACTTCTGGCGCCAGCATGCTCAGTTCCAGTGGTAGTGCTTCCGGGGGCAGCACCACTTCCAGGTTCATTCTGGATGACAGACAAGTCAGACTGGTTACTTGCTGCCTTTGATCTCATTGTGCCCGTCTCCCAGGCATCCTGAGGCTCCTTGGCATCCGAGTCAGGGTTGTCACCCCCCACCCACTCCCCCTCACTGTCCATCGCTTGATCAGCATTGGCAGTCTTTGATGGACCACTTTGAATATGATTGATGCTCATCTCATGACCAGAACAGCAGCTTCTGATCCAGCGCCTAGTGACCACCAAGGCCTTATCTGTGCCAGTGGCTTCCATGGAATCCATGGGACATACTTTGGTCATGGAGGTCCTGCTCTTTGTCTCACTCAAGGGCAAGATCGCCTACCATGTCTGTGGTGCTGATATCCTTCAGCCACCTCCTCTTGGCCCATCCAGATCTGTCACCCTGGGAGCAGGATCTGGCTTTAGCCCAGTTAAGGGCCTTGTCCAGCTATGTGACTCGTGTAGTTAGAAAAGAGTAACTTAGGTTGACTTTCCTCAGTAGTGTAGACAAGGCCTGAATAAAGAGAATTTCTAAGGCCTTGTCTATACAACCGCATACTATTGATCTAACTAATGCAACTTCAGCTACGTAGCCCTATTCCCTACATCAACCCTATTCCCTCTCTAGAGTGTTCATACCTTCATTTACATTTCCCCTGAGGGGAAAATTAGTATGCTGATTTGCATTTTCCTCTTTAAGGGAACAAGCAATGGTCTACGTCCAGACTGATTTTGTTAACTTGGTATTAAGAATGAGACTGCTAATATACATACATTCTCCTGTCATACCATATTTGGTTTTTAATTTCCCCTTGCTTCAGGCGCTTCTTGTTGTCACTTGCATTGTCTGAAAGAGACTAAGCCACTTGTTGTTTTACAGATCTTCTTCAGCTTTTTCAATAAAAATAAATGTGGCAATTTGATATACATTTCTGCCATTGAAAGTGAATTTTTGATTCAATGTAGATAAGACTAATCATTTGTCATTGGGGGAAAAATGTGGAGAGTCATGACTTTTCATGGCACAAAATAGAGAGATCACAGCTTTAGCTGAAGGGAAAAAACACAGTGTATTAATTATTTTTGAGTTATGAGAAATTAAGAGAAATCAAATAATCTAATCATAGAAGATTAGGGATTGAAGAGACCCACACATTCTTTTTGTGATGAGATCTGAGTGCAAACTTGGTAGAAAGAAGTCCTCAATCTAATCCTATATCGTTGACAATTAATTGACTTCAAGGCATTATTGAATCGTTGTTGTTTTAAAAGCAACAAAGAACAAAGAAATGACTTGGATTGCTGCCTCCTCGATTTCTTGCTCCTCGGTTTTGTGTCCGTCACTGCACTTCTTGCTGGTGAGCCCATAGTGGTAAATGTGTGTGTTTAGAAAAGTCTCTTTATAGATAACCAGAATACTCTGCCCCATGTACAACTCCCCTCCCAGTCAGATTGTGTCATCTAGCATATGACGGGATTTGGACTGCTTCAGTTTACAGGCTTGGTGAAAGTAGTCAGGCCCTTCCCTATAAATTACAGCTTGCGGCGTCACTTACAGGAGCTCAGAGCAGCCAGAATTTTCTTCCTGGACTTGATGCATGCTGTGCATCTTGACCCCTTTGACTGTGTGCCTCATATTGCATATCTAGCTATCAAAGTAAAGTTGTAGATGGTCCCATATCATAACTATCCCTTGTTCCTCTCTCTGCTAGTGCGAGCAGGCTTGGAATTATGTTTTTCTACTTCCACGTTTTCTTGTTTATCTCAAATTTCTAGTTAACTTTTCCATGTTGCGTGTGGCTTTTAATCACCACCGAAAAGGATGATCTGATCCAAAGTGGCTTCTGGATATTTATGGTGGTGTTCAGATGGGGATGGTGCCACCATGCGTCTCAGCCACTGTCCTAACAGCACTGCAGAAACTGTGCCCACCCTTATCTGCCCAGGACCTGTGGATGTTCTAATTGATGAAAGCTAGTGTGGTGTGTCTGAGCCTCCTCTTGGAAAGAGTTGTCCACGCATCTCTGATAGGGTTATCTGCCAGCATCTCTCAAATTACGGCTAGGTCTCTGCTAAGCAAAACTGATTGGATGAGAATACCTTGGTTAGCTAGCATCCAAGATCCTTCAGACAGAGATGCCTGGGAAGAGAGAGGCTGGCCAGCCCCAGTAACATTTGACATTTGTTGTTTGAATGCCATTCAAGGCATCGGGCTGGGCCCTGGCATGAAATTGCACTAGTGAGAAAAACCAGTGAAGGGGTTGGGGTGTGAGGACACGTGTTCTTCAAGAAAGCATAACAATGCTTTCTGATGCAGAGCTGTCTTGCAACTTTGCACATAGCCCCAAGCACACTTCCAAGGTGATTGCGATGGACTTAGATAAGCACAGTCTGTTTGTCTAGCAAGGAATTGTGATGTTGCTGGGTATTAAATCTGCACAAAGATGTTTTCTTGAGCCATCCTAATCTAAACTAGGGAAGGCCTTCTGTGCCCCTTATTTTGCCATCAGACTTATTCATCTGTGCAGGAGGCCTCCAGAGCATTGAGTGAATTGATCACCTCAGTCTCGTGGGTCTGCTTCAACGTCCTTCTCAAAGTGACCTGGACAACATCAGCCCCAAAGCAGTGAGCAATCTCAGTGGATTCTGTGAACTCCAAACTTTTGACGTTTCAGCAGAAGGGTGCTGTAAACTGGTGCATCACTTTCCGTTCTAAATATGTTCCTTTCTTTGCTACTTTCTCTGTAGTCTAAATATAATTCTGAAGGGTAATAAACCTACAAAACTGGAATATTAATTTTAGTAAGATGTGCATGTACCATTATCAGTTTGAAGTATTGGAGTGGTATAACTACTATTTTTTGTCATGTTGACAGAGTTGATATACAAGGAGGTCATGGACCTGGAGGAAAGGACCAAGAATGGGGTTATACGCGGACAGCCAGCCCCTTTAGGTTGGTTACAATAAAAGCACTGTACAAGCCTGCGTTTTGTGGTGAGGTAGAAAGGCATAAAGCAGATCCATGGGTAATATGAATGTAGCTCAAAGTATGACTAGAATTTCAAGAACACTTGGGCAGAAGCTGCTTTTAGCTAATTTACTTCATGAGTGAAAATATCTGACACTGGTGCTTTGCTTGGGAAATGTAGAACGCTATCTAAAGATTAGTTACCTAATGCCTCCATGAAGCAGGACTTGGGGGAAGGGACAGTCTTTTTTTCTCTTTGTCCAGCATCTGGGACTTTTTCTCGTGACCAAAGATACAGCCAACTGGGACGCAGAAACCCTCTGAATTGATGCGTGGTACCTGGGTATACAGACTCGGGCTCGTGCAACAGTGCTAAGAATAGCTGTTCAGATGTTCGGACTTGGCCCCACCCCCACCTTAGGCTTCATCAGAAACAGGCATTTAACCAAGAAGTGCACACTTAGGTGGATGCTAAAAATTAGCCTCCTAAATAAGCTGGCCTGAATTCCCCAAGTATTTAGTTCCCACTGTTGAATTTCAATAGTAATAGAGATGTAGCCATGTTAGTCTGGTCTTGCTGAAACAAAGGACAGGACTATGCAGCACTTTAAAGACTAACAAGATGGTTTATTAGATGATGAGCTTTCGTGGGCCAGACCCACTTCCTCAGATCAACTTGTGGAAGAAAATTGGCATGACAATATAATATACCAAAGAGATACAATCAAAAAAAGTGAACACACATAAAATTGACAAATCAGATTTTAGAACAGGGGGTGGGGTGGGAGGAGGGGGGAGGTTAGTGTCTATGAGATAATGATATTAGGGGTCTAATATCTGACGAAGTGGGTCTTTGCCCACGAAAGCTTTTGCTCCAACACTTCAGAGGTGCCACAGGACTCCTCGCTGCTTTTGCAGATTCAGACTAACATGGCTACCCATCTGATTCTTGGTATTAGGGGTGATAATTGGGGAAGCTATCTTTGTAATGGGTAAGATAATTAGCATCTTTGTTAAGGCCCATTCGTAAAGTGTCAAATTTAAGCATGAGTGACAGTTCTGAGGCTTCCCTTTGTAGTCTGGCGTTAGTCGCTTTGAAGCAGGATGCATGTAATAAGGTCATTGAGACAATGCCCAGTCTGGTTGAAATGGCAAGAAACTGTTTTTTCTTTGTGAAACTGTCTGATGTCTGTTTTGTGTGCATTGATTCTTTGGGGAAGTGTCTGAGAAGTTTGTCCAGTATACATAGCAGATGGACATTGTTGGCACGTGATGGCATAAATTATGTTTCTGGATGAACAGGAATAAGTGTTCTCGATCTTCTAAGTGACATGGTTAGTTAGGCCCAATGATGGTGTCAGCAGAGTAAATATGTGGACAAAGCTGGCAACGGGGTTTGTTGCAAGGGAAGAAATAACCAGTATAAAATACACTTTATCACTTGATGGAATGTCTACTAAATATTAAAATCAAATTTCTCATATGTATTATTTGCCTGAAAAAATTGCTCCTAAACCCCCCCCTCCCCTCCCCCATCAGAAGGAGGTCTAGGCACAACGAGGTTTAAGGAGCCCAGCTCAGATTGATGGTTCAAAAATTTAACCCTTCACGGAAATAAAAATCCTCAAATATTATTTAATGGATTCCAAAAAAATCTCTTAGAAGCTTCTTGAGTGGCAAGAAAAACTAAGGACCGCCAAAGTGAGAAATACTAATGCAAGTATTAAACCATGCAACTGTATCTGCAACTGATTTGCTGTTTTGTTTCTCATAGCACAGGTGCAGCAGTGATCAATGGTTCTCAGCATCCATCTTCATCATCATCTGTCAATGATGTGTCTTCAATGTCAACAGATCCAACATTGGCCTCCGATACCGACAGCAGTCTGGAAACATCAGCTGGACCTCTGGGTTGCTGCAGATGACTACTTGGTCTTTTAGGGGGGAGGGAAGGGGGATCCTTTAGTCATTGATAGGGCACCTTTAAGAAAATCAGTGGTATTATTTTTGAGTGGTTTTTTTCAAAAATGATGGTAGGGTTCATTTTAAAGTGCTGTAATTTTAAACTGTAAGTTGTGTTAAAAGCAGCCAAAAAATGTATTTTTTTCTGTAATTAATTCTGTAAAATATTAAACCTGATAATTTTATCATGGTTTTAAAAATCTGCATATTTGCTTTACTATTATGCTGCTGATCTTTTTTACTGAATTTTAAGATTTGTTTTATCAAAGCACATATTAATGTTGTGTCTCTACCCTGTCATGTAGTATTTAAGATTTCATAGGTTTTTTCAATTTTTATTAGAATTTTTTCCAAATGTTTTGTTCATGATTATCCTTCGAAGTTATATGCGTGGTCATTTGTCCTACCTACCTACAAGACAAAATAATTAATTGTAGCCAATTATAGCTTCAAGTGTAGCTACTGTAGTGGTAGCAGCAAATACAGAATCTTTTCAATCTGTCTACTTGCTTATAAGAATTGAATGAAAGCAGCCATTAGTGAGTTTTGTTAGGGAAATCGTTTGTGACCCTTGGCAAAGTCACCTCATCTGAAAGGCAGTATAAACATAAAGCAAAGCATATCTTTAAAGCTGCAGACCTCTCCAGCCTGCCAAAAGGAGATGGTAGCAGTACTGTGGCATGCTGAAGCTTCTGATCACATAAAACAAAAAGAGGATACTTCATGAATAATACATTGCAATGCAAATAAACTGTTTACTTCCATTAGCTATTAGCCTGTTTTTGTACATGCAAAACAAGGTGTACCCAGAATATCTAGATTGCCAGCAGGGAAAACTCTAGCAGTAGTTACACTTTCACATAGCACGTGGTTCTTTGGCGTTCAATTTCCTTCTGATTTCTATGTTAGGGGAGGGCAGTTCTGTGTTGGGGGTATTTATGGAAAGCTACAGCTTCAACCACTCTTTCTTTACCCAAAATAATTTGGTCCTGTAAGCCAGTCATTAGTGAGAGAACCTCAGGTTGTAAGACTTCTGTAGCTGGCTCGTTGAGAGCAGTGTATGCCGTGGTAGTGGAGAGAAATAGCATTGCTGGATAAATAGTTTTTCTCTTACTGTACTACCCAGATCAGCATAGCAGAAATCTTAATAATGGTTCTTTTTAAGACATGAATGTTCAGTATCATTCAGCATTGAAGCCCCACCTGCCAATGCTCTTTAAAAATAAATATATAGATCAGTTGCTAAGTAGTCATGTAAAATGGTGCTGCTCCTTACAAAAGTATGTTAACTGTTTACATTTTATATTTACAGAATGATTTGTGTGAACTGACTGAGTTTCATTATGAATGAGTAAAACAGTCATCCAAAGTTTCCTTTGAAAAGTGCAGATATCTCATGAACTTAAGCTATTATTGATCACTTTGTGTAGACAAATACTTTGTATAGTGAATTAAAATGTGAAGAGGGATTTAAATTGGTGACACCAACAAAAAGAACCTGTAAAAGACAAGCAGAAGAGTCTTGCCAGGAACAAAGCCGAAGAGAATGAATAGGAGTAGCTATTGAGATCATCCAAGAATGAAACTAACGCTGCTCAATTTTTGTTCCCTTAACATTTTTTGGATAGATAGAATAAAAATCCTTTTTAAATGTATAACTGGAAGAGGGAAATATTGCCTTTACCCACTTTATCTTCCCAAATTGTTTTACTTGTTTCAATAGCTAACAAGTCTTTTTGGTTTTGTTTTTTTTTAAAGAAGGGGTTTTAAGAAATGGTAACGTCTCAAAGAAAGCTGGCCATCATTTGTTAAAGTGCAGAGTTGTATTTTTGTTGCCTTGCTAGGCTGCTGTTAAGTGATAGTGGTGTGTAGTTCTGTTGTTCTTGCATATATCAGATATTTCAGCAGCGATCTATAAATCATATACTTAAGGCAATTGTTTTTATAGAATCCCACCAAACTGTATGTTCCTAAAAACTGATAGGCCATCGAATGGGGATTGGAGCATAGCATACTTTTTCTTGTTGTATTTGAACCAACAGGGACAGTTTATTTTATGTCTATCAAATTTTAAACTGTGGCATAAAGCCAACTGTATTTTGTCATGATTACAAGATAACGTCATTATATAGGCCCAGATTATGTTCTGGTACATTATTATCTACAGGTAATGAAATTACTACTGGTTTGTGTCAGTGTAACACAGCAGAATTTGCCCCAATCACGCTTGTTTTAGCTGAATTTGGGAATGGTAGTCCTCTCTGGTTTCCCCACATTAGATTCCAGTTCACTTTATTGCGCTTATTTAAGTGCTCTTGACTGAGTAAGACATTTTATTGGCTTTCCCCATCTTTGATTTCTCCAGTGCAGCCCACAGTAGGTACTGAAAAGAGAAGAGAACATTGATAGAACAAGAGACGACTTCAGTCAGGATGGGGCATACCTGCACTCTAGTCCTCCTTGGTCCCACCTTGCTAGTAAGTGTGTAGATAATTGCAGTCTGTATTTTATACAAATTAGGTGCCCATTGCAGGCTCTGGCAAATTTCAAGTGATGCCTACTAAGCCAGGCAGCATTAGAGCGCTGCAATTTTAAGCCATTGCAACAGTTGGCTAGTCTGAATTCACTGTTTAGTCAGTGAAATTCATTTGATCTTTCACGGACCATTGCATTTGGATGCAAACAGTAAGCAGGTGGGTAGCTAGAACAGTTCTGTTTTGTTCTTTAGAATTGTCCTGTGCATTGCTGTTCTTGCATTATGTAGGTATATGTTGAATATACAGGATGCTTTTTGATGTGCTATAGTTTATTATTTTGATAAATAGTTCCATGACATTTCCATCCTAACAGCCTGTGCTAAAAGATTCACAGCTCTTCCACCTGTAAGACTTCAGCTGATAGTAAATGAAAATGACCCACAGCTAATATTCTATGTAAATTGAGATGGACACATGCCCACTAAGAACTAAATAATTTCCCATGCTTTCTAGTTAGTTGCAGCAAGTCCCAGGACTGAACAGACAAGTCCTTCTAGAAGGGGTTCTTTCAGGTCAGTATTAAACAAACATACTGCTAGGGAGAAGTTGGTGCTGCCTTTGCCTCTGCTTCTATCCATTTCGTGTGTAGAGGACTTAGCCAGTGCAACACACGGAGGAAGACTGTCTTTATCTTTATCATCTTATATAAACTTCTGTGTGTTTAAATCAGCTGAAGTTATACCATAGTGGTGATTGGTTTAATAACCCTATATGCTAACAGAGAGAGGTCCAGGCTTACTGTTTGCATCCAAATGCAATGGTCCGTGAAAGATAAAATGCCAAGGAATATGTTTAGGCTCGGTGTGTCTAGTTTTCCTGGCTTGAGCATTGAAGTAGTCCGGATGGATTGCCAATATCTGAATATTTTCTAATCTGCTTTCTAGCAGTTTCTTTTATTGTGTTGGCTCTTTGTGTATTCAGTTCAGTTGACATTCTTTTCCCTGTCTAGTTGTAGCAAGTTTGAAGATGGTGAATGGAGATGAATTAGAGATGACCTGCATTTTTCAGTAAGATTAGAGAAGTTCTTAATGGAGGAATATGTTGTATTTGTAACTTTTCAAATTTTCCAGCTCACTTAATTGCTCTTACATAAGTGCTCCTTAATTAGTTTCAGTAAGACATTTTATTGGCTTCCCCCACCTTATATTTCTCTGCATTACAGAGATTTTCTTTGAATAAGGTAAACTTCACATATTTCCACTGCCACTGCTGAACAGTTAAACTAGTTTATTATTGAACTACCTCACACAAACTTTCTATGTTTTCTTGAGAAAATAGATCTAACCTTCACTATTGGATCTACCCTGAATGTGAAATACAAAGTACATTTCCCTTTTTAAACAGCCCAACCTTTTGGCCAATGTTGAGACAATACCAGTAAGTATGTATCATGTATACTTCCCGTAAGATGTTCATGTGTAATTTATAGCTCACGTACAATAATGTACATCCAGAAAATTGTGTTAGATGTAAATTGGTGAATTTATTATTGTGGTCTGGTTTTGTAGGTAAAAATAACTTAACTAGTAATATCAGTCCATCCTTTACATTTTACAAAAGGAATGATTCGTGGTAAGCTTTGCATAGAGATGAATTACTTTTGTAGGCCCAATATCTAGTCTATTTTTGAGAGTTCTTAAACTTTTAACTTATTACTAAAGTTGAGCAAAACTGGCTGAATTCTCGTGATCACTCCCTGAGCCCTTCTTGTGGGGACACTGATGTGTATTCTGTCCTGGGAAATATGGAGGGGAAGGATACACACCTTTTAAATATGGAAAAATTACAGTTCGTTTTCTTTCCCACTTGCCATCCTCCCCTCCCCCTGTTCCTTTTTGCCCCTCCCCAATAAGCCACTGGTGAGGAAATACTGAGATCATTGTGGTTTTTCTCATCCACGCCATCCGTCATGACACGTGCACCACTGGAATGTATACATCGTTATCGAGTATGTCAATTGGGTATAATGATATTTTAAATAAAAAAGGATAAAACGTTGTTTAATGACCGCTCTGTCGTTAGTGTTTCTTCATTGCAGCTCCGGAGCACTGAGGTGTCGTGTGGTGGATTTCATAGGACAGCTGCCACTTCACGCGTGTTTGCCTCAGTCAGTTGTGGGGGAGGGGGAGAGCTCTGTTCTTTGTGGTGCCCCCAGGTCTGCTAGGGTGGGCATGCCAGCCTTTTTGATGGCCCGGTCCAGACCTGTCAGTCACTGGTAGCAGAAGACTCCTTCACTCCCTGCTCTCCTGTTGGAGGCTTTCAGTGCGATTCGGTGACCGGCTACTCTGAGGCCCAGTTCCTGCCCTGGGCTACACACCTGGCCCCCAGCAGAACTGTCCCTGCACTTGCCTGAGGCAAGAGCAGCGACATTTTTGCAGCTCCTTCTCTGTAGTCCTCTGTCATGTGTCTTGTATGGGAGCAACCTCTCCTGCTGAGTGTCCTGGTCTGGGCAGGGATGGAACGCTTGAACAAAGGAGGCTGCCTCTTCTAAACAGTTCCTTCTTCAGTCTCTGTTGGAGGAGTGCAGCAGGTGGAAGGTGGTACTGAGCCACTCAAACCCACACCTGCAGCCACGCTCCTGGCCAGAGCGGACACTGGCCCCAACATGGACCCTAATGTCAGAGCGCAGGTCGGGTCTTTGCACTAATCGGCCACCGGCAGCTTCCTTGCTGCTCCCCCAGGCAGTAGCTCCCAGGACTCAGGCTCCTGTCTTAGGCAAGCTGGGCCCTGGCCTTAGGCTTTGTGCAAGGCCCTTTCTCACACACCAGCCCACTCTTTGGACCTGCCTCCTTGAGAACCTCTCAGATATTCTGGTGAGTGGGGCTCCCTGCCCTGCAGCGGGAGAGCCCCGTGCCAGTGCCATGGAAAGACAGCAAATGAAATCCGTCCCCTATTGTAATGCAGCGCTCTGCTTTCTCTTCCAGCGCATCCAGGGAGAGTGGCTGAAACAGAACGAGAGATTTCTTAGTGCAACTGCTGTGCGTGTAGAATGGGGGGAGAGTATTTGGAGGGGAAAAGTGAAAGTTGGCATTAATCTAGTTTCTGTCACTTGAGTAAAGCGTATGGGGACACCTGTATTAGCGGCATGTCCTCCAAGGAAACTCTGGTAACTTCATGATGAGTGCTGTTAAATTTAAATAGCATTAGAATACATTTTTAGCTGGTGCCAAGTAATTGAGAGATGATGAAACCAGGCCTGAGAGTCTAATCTCAGCCTAAGGATTTGGCTTTGGTTTTGGTGATGTCTAGTCACATAGTTCCAGATCTGAACATACATGGCTGTGGTTTAGCTGAAATCAAGACCTCGGGTTTAGTTTTGTTTTGTTTTGTTTTGCAAGCCAGCAGTGCTGCGAACCCTTGGAGATTGTAGTACCTGCTGTTGTTTTTAATCATCTTTGCTCTTCCTTTAGCTCGGTTAAAATGGACGTGGGAGGGCGACCGCACAGAGATCCCTTATACATTTCGGCTCATATCGCCGCTCATGAACAGGCTGGGCTTCTCAGTAAATCAAAGTAAATCATCAACAAGAAGAACACGTCTAGCTTGCTGCTCTGCAGGGGGCAGGCATCTTTGGTTTAGAGATTTTTTTCCCCCTGCTTACTCCTCCCTTGACTATAACAGATTTTGATATAAGGATAAGGGAAGGGAGATATTCTTGCATGATGAGTGAGCCGTGCTTTGGGGATGGGGAAGCTCATTCTCTGAAGTATTAAACTCCTGTCAAATGTCATTAGTTCTAGGCGTGACTATCAGCGTTGTAATGATCCTGCTAGAAACATCACAAGCAAGGAACTGAACATAGCCGTTCTGCCACTGGCCGAGTGTCCGTTCCGCCCTGGGACTCACGGAACACCCTTCTTCCTGAGTTGCAGCAGCTTGGCCTTGTTGCTTCATGCAGATTTTTTGTGCCAAGGTATTTGCCGTATTGTTACTTCCATTTCTGGCTCCCTCTCTCTCTGCCGTATTGTTACTTCCATTTCTGGCTTTCCCCTCCCCTCCTGTCATAACCCTTCTGCAGTTTCCACCTATATTAGCTAGGAATGGGCGGGAGTGTTTCTGGGTGGGATGGTGGTCAAGCAAAGCCGGGGGGAGGACTCGCTTCGTTGTAAGGGCCTGCCTGTGTCTTTTGGAGTGTTATACTAATGCGTCTGAGCTTATTCCAGGAGGGACAATTATCCACTGGGCCAAAGCCAGATAATTCTTCGGGGGTTGTCATAAAATAGCAAAGAATCACTACCTGCGTGAGTGAGTCTTGATGACGAGAGGGATAGGGGCAAAAAGCTTCATGAAGCTGTATGATGAAACAGAGCTGTAAGGTCTCTTGCCATATACAGGCACCCCAGAAACTGAATAAACTAGGCTGCATCCTAATGTGCCTGAAAACCTAGAACAGCAGCCTTATGCAAACCTCGGTAGGATCTAATCTTCCCCTGCTTCCCCAGTCTGCAGGTGTTTCTTTCTGGGTTGGTAGCCCCTCAGGTGGAAGTACCACAGCTGTTAGATGGCACAGATCACGCAAAACACACCCCTGCTTCTTGCACACTCTCCTCAGCAGAATGTTAACATGTCATTTGCCATTGTTAGGTTTCAGCGTTAACACCCATTGAGCAGTTTGTGCTGCTCGGGTTACAAATGGCCTGCAGCCCCCGACAGACCCCGCTGCAATGGATAACTGTCAGTCTGATCGGAATGTGTTCTGTGCAGCCGTAAGGGGGAGAGGTTTCCTTACCGATCTAGAACTGGATCTGGGGTTCTCCCAACTTTCATTGAGAACAAAAATGATGACCTGCCCGCAGGGAGGCGGATCAAGGCCTGAGCTCTGCCCCAGCAAGGCAGCCCTGGCTACCTCGACCCGCAGTGTGAGAAGCACTGAACTAGGTGTATTAAACAGAAGTTTGTGCGTGGTAGCCAGCAGGGGACAGTATCAGCTCCCTGAATTGCCTTCTCAGCCCAGCCTGACTTGTGTGAGTGAAACCACCCCTTCATGGAACAGAGGCTGCTGTGCAGGCGCTGAGACTAGATGCCTGGATGCTTCATGTTGGAGCTGCTGCTGGGGGAGGGAACTTCACTGTGCCGTAGCCTTCCTGCGTGACCCTGGACACTTAGCCTCTCTGTGCCTCTACTCTCCATCCGTGCTGCGGGGTTGCTAGCATTTCCTGCCTGCCAGGGCAGAGTGAGGATAAATACAGAAGGACAGGGCGGTGCCAGGTTCACAGTGAGGGGGCCATGGAGGTAGTTAACAGTTTGGTTGCTGTGTCTCTGGATTACACGGAGAGGAGAATCTCTAGCTCTCATCACTGATCCCTTGAGCTGGGCAGATGTAAGGAAGCGTCTGCTTGATTGTCACTGGAGATGCGGGTTAACAGGTATCCCTCCTGAACGTGCTGTCTGCTCACAGGCGAGGGTTGATTTTTGATGATGGCGGTGTAGGAAAAATGCCAAGGAGCCACTTGGAATGTTACTTCTACATTGACTAGACGAAGTGGCTCCTAGTTCCCTTGGCTGTGTCTCGGATGGCTTGAATGGAGTCACAGTAGAATACATGTGAAGATGAAACAACTGCCAAGGCAAAATGCAGCTCCTTTCAGCCCCTGTGGGTGGTAGGCTACTCCTAGGAACAGGCAGGAGACTGACAGTGCTTTACAGCCCTGCACTGGGGCAGAGGCTTGGTGTGGAAAGGCCTGGACTGGAGAGGAGGAGTGTGTGATTGTTTATTTCAGTCGTTTCAAATTGAGCCATGTTTTAAAGCAGTGGTTCTCAACCAGCTGTGCGCTGAAAATTTACAGGTGGTACATAAACTCAATCTAGATAGTTGCCTAGTTTTGAAACAGGCTGCATAAATTGAGCCCTGCATAGATAAAATTTGTATCTGCAGCTGTCTGCAGATTGCCTGGGTTCTATACATAAAAACCACTAGCAAAGTCAGTGCAAACTAAAATTTCATACAGGCAGCGGCTTGTGTCTACTGCTCTCTATACTATGTTGACATGTAAGTACAATGTGTACGTTCCAGTTGATGTATATTTTAGAATGGTAAAATGAGTGTCAGCACTTTTTCAGTAACTGGGAGCTGTCACACTTGTATTTTTATGTCTGATTTTTGTAAGCAAGCTGCTTTTAAGTAAGATGAAACTTGGGGTACATAAGACTTCTCAGACTCCTGAAAGGGGTACGATACTGGAAAGGTTGAGAACTGCTGTTTTAAAGTCTCACCGTGCTAATAGAACTGGCCCTTGTTTCAAAGCCAAGCAAGGCTTGAGCGGAAGAGGTTTTACTTATTTAGCTCATTTGCAACACTCCTATTACTGTGGGAAGAAAGGGGAATGGGAATGATGGGATGGTACTGAGGTGCACGTGAGCAAGAAGGAAATAAAACAGCATGGATTAGCTGAAAGAGGAGCATTCCTAGCTTGCTGCTTACAGTGGGGATGGCTGGGATGGTACAGGGGTACTGCTCTAACTATAATCACCCAGGTTTTGAAAAGCCTGTAACGGAAAGGAAACTGAGAAGTGATCTGGGCAGCTCTGAAAATCCCACAGCAGCTCCCACACCATACCCCTAGCCCCAAACTGTCCCTTCGGTCAGCTCATCCCGCCCTTGGGAGGTGGGAGTGGGGGCTAGCACGGCTGCTCCCCTCCTGTTAGCTTCCTTCACTGACAATTTCTCCCATGCAGACTACAGAAACTGGGGCGGAGAGGGGAACAAAACAGTTGACCTCTCTGCCTTAGCAGAGGGGGTGTGTGTGTGGAGTGCCACAGAAATGCAAGACTGGGTAGACTTAGCACCTCTGGCTCTGAGAGCACTGTTTGCCAGGTGAGAATTGGGATAAATCAGCAAGGAGCAGACTCTGTCTCTAGTACTTGAAGTCTCTTATATGAGTGCATGTCAGCTACATTTAAGCCTGCAGTCAAAACTCTCCTGCTACTGTCATATCTGAGGTGCTTTGGTAGTTTCCATATTGTGGCCTTTAACTAACAGGCACTTATTAACAGAGCAGCATGGAAATCAGCAATCTCTCAGCCCCGCGTTGAACTCCATTTCTGCAATTAATGACACAGTCGTTATTTCAAACCTCAGACCAGTGCAAAGCCTGGCTGACAAGGACACGGACTGGTGGCAAGTGTTGAGTTAAATCTCCAGGGGGGTTGCCCCTCCAAGCGATTTATTAGTCACGTATTTTAAGTCACATTTGGTGCAAATAATATTTAGAGTAGGGAAGGATGGAAAATTGGGCAGCAACCTTTAATGAAGGTGTCAGACTTTCAAATGCCTTCAGGTGCCTGGCTAGTTTTGCAAAACGCCTTCATAACATAATACCAAGTACAGGAAGAAAGCACTTCCACCAAGGAACTTTTTAAACAGATTTCACAATGAAAGGAAAACCTGAAAAGTCCAGCTTGATTCATCATGTGGGCTAAACAGTGTTGCCAGGCTAGCTGGGTCACCTCCAGAGGAGCCATGCGTGCTCCGGCCCGCCTCAGCTCGCTTAGGTCATGGCAGTAATGTCGGGAGCGTTACTGTTGTCCCTGGCCAGCAAAGGACAGTAAAGCCAGAGCCAGGGGTGTGTCTGTGTAAGAGTTATCCCTTTGACGTTAGGAAGGAATGGTCCAGCCATCTGTGGTTTCAAACATTGCCTCTCGCAGTCAGTGTCCCTGATAGTGCCAATACTATAGCATATGTAAACAAAACAGCAAAAATTCTTAGCGCAGGGAATCGCAGCAGAACTACTCATGATGCATGAGCAACCCCGAACAGAACGACTTGTGCTGGAATTGAAAAACACTGTCTGTGTACCGCTGCTTCCTTTACTTTGGCACTTTAGCTCCCCGACTTGCAGCAGTCAGATTTCCTAATGTAGAAAAAAACTCTTCCATTTCTGTCTGCAGGAGCTGGTTTCTCTTTTCTGCATCTTCACGCGCGCGCTCTGAATTCCTCAGTTTGATCTCCAGCATTGTGTATTTCTTTCGCTCCTGGTCCAACTCCTCTTCTAACCTTGCCACCTGTTTCCTCAGTTCAGCGCTTGCTGCTTCAATTCTTTAAAGACAAGAGGAAAAAGAGTGTTTTAGTCTCTAGACCACTGCTACAGTGATTGCCATGAAAAATACACGTTTTCCATATGACAGCCAGAACAAACACCTTGTATGATGCCATCGACAGCAGGCTTTTGTTACGGAGGCACCAACCGTAACTCAGGAGGCGATGTTGAGTTGAATTGTGAATGATTAATTAAGATTCAGGGGTTTTTTTGCATCTGAGAGACCATGTCCTTCCCAAACTTACGACACTGATTCTGTGGGGAGAGAATCAACCTTCTGAGGATTTACAAATCAACCCATTCATAGGTTTATAAGCAGCTTTCCTCTTCCTTCATGCCATTGCTTTTACTTGTCAAAATACCCTTTAACCTACAGGACTGGAACACCAGGCATACTAGACTGGCTGCTGCTTCTAACTGGCATTAAGTCTGTGCCCTGCAGAACCCTTAGTAAAGCAAAGAGTCAGAGCTCTGTACCCACCGAGGGGACTGAAACCCAAATGCTGTTCTCTTAGAGCGTGCTTTGTGTGAGGGGCGGCATGGCTGTGTCTATCAGGCCTGCTCTCCTATGGGTCACCCACTTCAGTATTGACTTGCTCATAGTACAGTGTGTTATGCCTCTTGCTAAACTGACAGGTGTATATGGCATAACAGACTCTTGGGACTCCTAACCAGAGTAGCTCCAGAGGTTGAAACAGACACTTTCGCATTGGAATTCAAATCACACTGGTGCGCAGGGGTAGAGTTGTTGCAGTTGTGCGTAACGAAATGTCTTTGTTTTAAAAAAGCAAAAACAAACCTGGGAAGCTGTATTAAAAAAACCAAGAGAAGAAGATGAAAAGCACCCCAGGACTGGATCCCAGCTCAGACAAGACAGACTGGAAGAGCCAGCAAGCCGAGCCGCTTGTAACACACAAGAAATAACTAGTAACAGACACCTTGACTTAAATCTGCACTGTACTGTATCTACACTAGTTTCAGTCCTGGTGCTCTGTGTTGTATCCTGGCTCGTGAGTGGGACCCCTACTCACTAGATACATAATAGCCCAGTGAATAAGTAACATGCCAACTATCAAAATCCAGAGCTCATTTACCGAAATGCAACACCTACTTTTCTGGGCCTACTGCTGTCTAACAGCATGACACCAGACTCCTCAATATGCAACTTTTCTTCAGCGGGGCCTGCTGGCCGGCCTTGGGTAAGTCATCACAGTGCTCCGTGCCCCTCTCTCCCCATATATGAAACCTAGGTAATAGTGCTTACCTCCTCTGCAAAGAGCTCTGAGCTCTGCTACATGGGAGCGAGGGGGTACAGAACAATTGACTGCCCTGCCTATCAGCCCATGTCTTATATGCAACAGCACATCCAAGTCTGGTAACCCCCCTGTATTTCACACGCATGCTTCCCTGCCAATATCCCTGTGACACACACACACATTTTAAACAGCACTCTGATCCTGTAACCCCTACCTGTGTGTGTTCCGAAACTCTCCTTGGGGCTGCTGGAGCGTAGGACGTACGTTGCCTGTACCACCGAACTCTAAATGAAGGCTGCATTTTCAAACCAGCTCGTGAATTTGCTACGGCTGTGGCCACTCCCTGCACAGACCAGGTGACCAAACACCTGGGTACCTGGTTTGAGCTCCCAAAGACCTGTTTGCAAGCACAGGCATGGGGCGCTCATGGGTGTGTTGGCTGAAAGAGGAGTCCTAGCCCAGAGTGTACTTTCGAAGTTTAGACAAGAGCTAAGTTGTAAGAAGGGGAGGGGTAAAAAGTGCAACTGAAGCACATTCTTGTTGAAAAATGGGGAGCTGTTAAAACTCCCCCCTCCCCCCCCCCCAAAGAAAAGGTGGATTTTGGTGGAATTTTCCACTGGTAAAATCTTAACCAAATCTTTTGCGTCAGGCTGCGCTGACATTAGTCATTGTGTCAGGCTTAGTTGCCCCAGCACCTCCTGGGAGTAGCAGTTAAGGGGTCTCGTGCCCTCTTTCCCCACCGGTTGGCTGGGCTCTCCAGCTGGACTACACCTCCCATGAGGCCAACTGACTGAATGAGAATCGCTCCCGTGCCCACTGAGTGACAAAATATTGGCATTTCGCTAGTTGTCGGAGGCTAGAGATGGGAGCGAAGCTGGAACCAGCCCCCACCGAGCTCAGGGGGAGCTCAGACGCGAGCTGGATCAGAACGTTGCAGCCCTGCTCTCGTAAACCAACCTCGATCCCAGCACCCCACCCTGTTTGAGCAGGAGTGGCTTGGTCCAACAAGGGCGGCACTGCATCGAGAGACCCCAGCACAGCTGAGAGCCACTTTACCTTTTGATACTTGACTCATACTCAGTCCTCTGTTTGCTCAGTTCTGTCTTTAGCTCCGAGACCAGGCTCTGCAGAGCCCTCGAGCATTTGGCTGAGTCTTTGGAAGCAGCCGCCAGGTTGCTCTGCTCGCTGCAGCTGCTGACGCACATTTCAAACCTCTCCGCGCTGCTCTCTAGGTCCGCAGGCTTGACCTCACTCTGCGACAGCGAGCCCTGAGTGGCCCATTCTGTTTTGAGGGAGCTTAACGTGGAGGAGTCGCTAGCCCGGCAGGCCGGGCAGCTGCTGACAGAATCGACGACCGAGATCTCGCAGGACGAGGCGGACCAGGCAGTGCTGGCGATGCTGTGTGCGCTCAGGGAGAGGCTGGAAGAGGGAACGTTGTCGTAGGTGGAGAGTCTTTGGGATGAACCGGAGTCTTTTCCCCGCTCCCCAGAGGACGTCCGGCGGTGGCCTCGGAGAGAGTACAATCCGTTCATGAGCCAGTTCCCGCTGGAGGGTAGATTGGGAATGTCCAAGGATGAGTTACCCAGCTTGGGGCTGACGGACCTCGCCCCCTGTTGCCGGAAGGAGTACTTCCAGGTGGGTAACGTCTGCACTCTCTTGCTGGGGCTGGTGGCAGGCTGGCTGGCCCTGCTGCTGCGCTCCTGGGAGGCGTTTTTAGCCAGCGAGCTGCGAGTGGTGTCCGGCGCCACGGCACTGCTAGAAGGCAAGCTGGCAGGGCTGGGGCCACTCTTCTCCAGCCTGCTCTCCTCCCCCTCTTCCTCGGAGATCCACTCCACCATGCTGCGCTGCAGCACGGAGCGGGCTTCGGGCGGAGCCCCTGCCACATCGGCCTGCGAGACGGCAAAGATTCGTCCATGTTCGCTTATCAACACGGTCATCAAGTGCTGAACCAGCGAGGTGCCTGCGGGGAGAGAACGGAGGCAAGAGCTTAATGGGAGAAAAGACAAGGTCGGTTAGTGGTTTCCGGTCTCCAAGAAACCCAAGGCCGGGGCACGTCCTTAAGCAACAGGTGTGTGCAAGTCACACACAACAAGGACGCTGGGCACCTCTCCTTCAAGGGCTGCAGAAAGGGAGTGAGTATCGTTGTCCCCATTATTGGGGGGAGGGGAAGGACATAAGGATCTAGGTCAGTTGCCACAATACAGATGATTCACTCCACTGCCCCCTGCACTAACCATTATACAATGTTTTCTCCCTTGAAGCAAAGACTCCTGGAGAAAGCTGGACACCAGTGTAATTTTCCTGTACAGTAATTCCTCATTTCACACTATCGATATGTTTCAGAAAATGATCGTCTTACGTGAAAACGTGTTATGCGGGGTCAATTTTCCCATTGAAAATAATGGAAAAGGTGGGGGTTGCGTTTCAAGCGGGGGTGTCTGTTGGGACCAGGACATAAGGTTGGGGGAGAAAGGGGACTGCGTTACAGCAGGGAGGGGAGGTGTTCGGCTGAAGAGAAGGGGAGGAGGATTGGGTTGGGAGTATGCCCCTGTGACGGGGGGTTGCCGGCAAACGGTGCGGTGAGTGGCGAACCCTCCAACGCTTTGCAAGGAGGCGGGGGAAGCCCCGTGCAGTCGCCAGCAATGGGCCAGCTGGGGAAATCATGTTATTCCGGAGACAGACGTGTAATTCAAAAAACGTTCCCTAAAAAAAAAAAAATTAGGCTATCACGAAAACGTGTTAAGCGGGCACATGTTAAATGAGGAATTACTGTCCATTTTTTAGGTGGACGGGTGCACTCCCATACATAAGCTGAACAAATAGCTTTCTGCACTATTCAGTCCAGTTACCTGTTTCTGTACTTCTATTTCAAACGCAATTGTAGGGATCTTCAACCCTACCCATAAGTGTTAAACAGCTCTTATAGTGCAGCCTCAGAGTCAGCCCCGGTTTACATATCTGTTTGGAAAGTGCCATAGCAATAAAAATGTTAAGTTATAGGGGTAGCTTCATTTCTGATGTAACTCCATTGACTTTAGTTGAATTACCCTCCTTCAACTCATCAATGGAGTGAAAAATACTCTACAGTGAATGGCAGACAATTAACAAGCTATAGGTCAGTAAAAATTGTTTTTAGCAGTGAAACAAAGTAGTAGAAAAGGCCATTTATCAAGCCCGTGCCAAATATTTTCTACCACGTAAATGAGAAAATCAAGATCAACAGCATTTTCATTAATTACAATTGATCCTTTTTGTTGAAGATCGATAACGAATACGGGGAAAATTTTCAAATCTGGGCACTTAAAATAGTTACAACCATATTTTACAGGATCTCAGTAAGAGGCCTGATATTTTGACATGCTGAGATCCTGCTGGGCTGCAGGAGGTGGGAGAACTAAACACTTCTAAAAATGAGACTGCTTCGTTGGCACCCAATACGGATTCAGGACCCCGACTTTAAAGATTTTGGTTTCAGAAGTGTATTGTTAATGGCTCAGAGCATGTCTCTGTATCTCTTCACACAGGCAGACCATAAGAATGGCCAGACTGGCTCAGAGCAACGGTCCATCTAGCCCGGTATCCTGCCGGACAGCAGCCAATGCCAGGTCCCACTTGACTTCTCAAGCTAAGGACCAAAATCCCTTCCACTGCGAATAGCTAACGGATCCTTTGCTCTCACTGGGCAGTAACATCCCTCCTGCTGCCTGCTTCGGACTTGACGTGTATTCTTTCCAAAGATGGTGCCAGGCTGCAAAATTTGGAGTGGCCTCCCAGCTTTTCGCCTGCTTGGAGCTATTTGAAGCCAGGATTCTGGTTCAGATCCGTCTCTCGCTACTTCACTTGACAGTTTCTGAGAAGGGCACACGGGGCGGAAGAGGTGGCAAAGGCAATCAAGCAGGTGTAGGGGAGCGCTCGCTGGCCTGACCTACACCGATTTACTGCTGACTAGCAAACACGGCCACTTACCATCCTATCCCCTTGATAGAGACCTGTGTTTTCAGAGGCAGTGGGGCTACACAGTTGAGTAGATCTGATTCTCTGAAGGGGACACACATGCAATACACACTTGTCTGCATAAGCCAGCATGGCATTGGCTGGGCGGACATTGGTTACTGTAGCTCTCTCACACTCAAATGTTGCCCCAATGGCGTTGAGACGATCCCAGGCCACGCTGCCCTGCTGGGAAGAGCCCATCCCCAGAACGTGTGGAGAAGTCTGACTCCCCCACCCCCTGCCTGCTCTATGCTCTCAGCCTATTCCACTCCATCCTGCCACGTGCCACAGTCTCCAGCTCAGCAATCTCCTTGCCGTCGGCTGCAAGAAGGACGCCCAGCGTGCAGGGAAGAGGCAGCCAGATGTTTATGGGTGCTTTTCCACCCCTAGCTCAGCCACAACCCCAGAAAAGGGACGTCCTCTCGATGGGACCTGCCTTATGACACTGGCGTCGGTAACGACTCCGTAGCTATGGCTGAGTTCAGGCTTCTGTCTCCTGCCCTCCCGGGGGTCTGGCACGTGTCCGGAATAGACTTTCTCTTGGAATTCTGTCCGGATTAGAGACTTTTAACGGTAAGCTGATGCAAAACTAGCAGTGACCGGAATAGACTTTCTCTTGGAATTCTGTCCGAATTAGAGACTTTTAAAGGTAAGCTGATGAAAAACTAGCAGTGACTTAAACTGATTCCCTAGGTCTGTGTTCCACATCTTCTTTGTGCCACAAGCATTTTGGAAGGCCACATTTGGAAAGGGACCTGTACACCGCAGCTGGGCGGTGAACACTCCAGCTCGGGTAGACACGCGCGCTGCCTCTGCTCACGCTACCACCTAAAAGTAGCCGTGGCCCGGACTGGCTGCCTGAGTCCGCCCTGTCCTGCTCCCAGGGACGTACTCCCCTATCAGCTCCTGGAATGGAACGCCCCAGGCATTGACGTTCCCAGTGGGCCGATCGTGATGGCATCGGATTTCTGACAGAGGCTTCCACCGGGGTCCAGGACATGGCCCCCCTCCAGAGCAAGAGCCCTACCTTCCATGATGGTGACCGGATCTTCCATTTTGGGCCGCAGTATATTTGGGCCGAACACCGTGGCGAGGTTCTGGACGCTCATCTTGTTCACGGTGGAGTGGGACTGAACTTCGTCGAGGAATCTTCAGGAGCCCCCCCAGAAGAAAAAGAGCGAGAGAGAGAGAGAGAGAGAGAGAGAGAGACGAGTAAACGGCCTGTGAAACCTTCCGCCTCAGTAGTTCCTTGGGCTCCCTTCCCCTCGCTTCGTGAGTGGGAGCGCGCGTTTGGATCTGTTGGTACAGTGGGGGGCGGGGGGAGGGCTTCTGTGGGCCAGATCCGGACTGCCAAGTGGGTGGATCCATCCCACGGAGGCCCTGCTGCCTCCCCCCCCCCCCGGCCAAAGCGCCATGCGCTGCTCGCAGGGTGGGGGTAGGGCAGGAGGGAGGTTTCACGTGCTCCTCCCGCCCCCATGCCAATCATGGTCTAGGGTGGGGTAGCCCTACCCCTTTCTGGTTGGACCCCGCCCCTTCCGGGGTGGCCCAGGGCTACTTCAAAAAAATTTTAAGTGGCCCCCGGGGGAAAAATTATTGCCCACCTGGGAGTGAGCGCAGTGGGGTTCCCGGCCATGCCCAAGTCTCAGCACTGCCCCGGGACAGACCTAAGAACAGTAACCCCAACTCTACCAGAGGGGGCAGAGAATCGGCCCAGTGGTTACTAGTGCTGCAGACGGGACCATTTAACAAGCCTGAAAACAGAGGTTCTCTCCTCGAACAAGGATTCTCAACAAACCACATTCCATGCAGGCACATAGTTTTCACAGAAAAACCAGTCCCTCTCTGACCTCTCTGTCCTCAAAGGAAGCTGCCACAATAGCTTCAGGAAACAAGTTTGGGAACTTAAATCCATAACTCTGCGACACGCCCCAAAGAAGAGACGTAATGAAGACGCTGGGTTCTTAATCATCACAGTAACCTGTAGCCCCCTCTCCCTCCTTTGTCCTACGACCGGAGAGGTGTTAACTGGCCCTTTTGCTCTGGTTCCATTTTGCAACACTTGTTACTGGGTTAGCTGGGACGCTCTTGGGCCTGCTCCACACTAGGGATGTAAGTGACTAGTTGGGTTCCTGCTCGACTAGTCGCGTCCCCCCGCCTCTTGCTGCCTCTGTCGGAGGCAGCAAGGGGTGGGGGAAGCAGGAGCCAGTGCTGGAGGGAGCTGGCTTAAAATTCAGTTCCCCCACCACCACTGTCTCCATGGGGGGTAGGGGAGGCAGAGGCGCAGCAGGGGATCTGGCACAAGCTGGGACAGCTGAGTCCTGGCTCGCGCCTAGTCCCTGACACTGCTGCTCTGCTTTTTACATATAGTAAGAGCCTGGGGGCTCTTCACGCCATTTACAAAGCGGAGGTGCAGCAGTCCTGGAGCGTTCGGACTCCTGCTGCTCCAGGAGCTCGCCCCCTAGTTGGCTAATTGAGTAGTCGATGGACATTCCCCCAACTAGTCGATTAGCCTGCTGACCCCCATTTAACATCCCGTCTCTGCACTACAGACGTGCATGTCGCGCTTCTGGGGAAGGCATTCCAAGCCGTCGGCTTAGCTCCCGCTCTGAGGGGGGCAGAATGCCTCGTTGCACGCTGCCCGTTGGCGAGAGAAGCCTCGAGGGTACGCAGGGCTCTTCCTCTAGTCCGAGACGTGTGCTCGGCACATCCGAGCCAGCACAAGGTGGAGCAGCGGTGGCTAATCGGATCCTGCACTGAAGGGCTTGCTCTGTCTTCTGCATTAGCACAGTGTCTAGAGCAGGCGGGGGCGCACGCTTGGTGTGTTCCTAGGCACTACTGTAATAAATGATTAATGGTGAGGACTGTCCGCCCTTGAGCTATGCCAAGCACTTCATTGACCAGGGCTGCATGAGCGCTAGCCCCACACGTATTTTTAAAGGCAGAGGTTAATTGGGTGCAAATTGGCTTCTTGCATTGGCATAGGATGGTCACACACGAAGCTGCACAACACGTGGCAGCCGTGGTGATCCTGGGCGCTAACTCATGGCACTTACTTGCAGATGTATTTGAGGAGGTTGTAGTTTGCCTGGGGCAGGGTCTTCACCTGTTTAGCCAGCTCTCGGGTGCCCTGTGGGCGGAGACAAACGAGAACAGCCATGTAGAGAAGGCAGCTTGGTCCGCTGTTGTCTGGGGCAAATCTTCCTCCTTGAGGCAAGCCCATGCCATAAACACTGAAAGCGGGGTGCTACATGGATCTGCAGGGGGGGCTTGCCCAGTCCCCCTCCCCACCAACTGGTATCCCCCGAGGGTGGTGCACTCTGCCTCTGGGGAGTGGGACAAGGAAAGAGAGGATGACATTGCAGATCCACCGGCTCCGGCCTGCCTCCAAATGTTAACACACCCGCCCCAGGGGACAAGCTGCCTGTGTGCAAGCCATGTGTGCTGCTGGGCTCTGGAGTGGTCCCTTTTGCTGCAGCCGATGGCTCCTTGCTGTGGCCACGCTAGTGTCACGGGCGTTCTTCACGTGACCCGCAGGCAGTAAACCAAACTTCACTGCCCATGAGGGTAAGCATAGACCTGAGTAAAACCTGGGGGCTCGGGGCCCGGGGCGCTGCAGGTGATGTCCCCACCCAGGACCCTTGCTGCTACTGGAGGAGTAGAGGGCAGGCCCCGATGCAGAGCTCTATGCGCTGCCTCTGCCCCGAGCACCCACTCTGCATCTCCCATTGGCTGGGAAGTGCAGCCAATGGGAGCTGCGGGGGTAGTGCCTGCAGGCAGAAGCAGCAGGCAGAGCGGCTTGGCCGCACCTCCCCTAGGAGCTGAGGGAGGGACGTGTCGCTGCTTGTGGGGAGTTCCCCTGAGGTAAGCACCACCCAGAACCCTCCCCCCTCCTGTGCCCTCAGCCTTCCCCCACACCGAAACTCCTGCTGTGATGTGGTGGCCCGAGACGGCCCCAGCAACGGTCCGTGCGGCTGCCCGGGGCCGCCTAAGCTGCTCAGGCCAGCTGCAGACGTCACAGAATCTGTGCTCGGTGTAATTAACGTAGCTGGAGCTGCGTATCTTGAGTCCACCTTCCCCCTTGGCGTAGGCCTGGCCGGAGTGTAACTAAGTAGCAGCGTTTTTATCACAGGCCCCTAGGGAGTCTGGGTACGGACCCCGTGTGCACGGCAGAGGCCATCCTGCCCTAGACTTCGGCTGACACGGGCAGCAGGCTTGTAAAATCCCTCCACTCACAGCAGCTCTGCCATGCCGCCAGGAGAGCACTCAGACGTAGTGACCGGCACAGGATCAGTCTATCCCCTTGTCCAGGATCCTGCCCCTCCAAGCAAGTCCACGGCAGAAACAACCCTCCCAAACCTCCACCGCCGCCAGAGAGCAGGCGGCCTCCTTGGGTCCCTTGCACTGCGGGGAATAACAGGGAAGAAAAGGCACTGGAGAGCTGCGGAGTGCAGTGCCCAGCACCGCCACATGAGTGTCATTGCCCCTTTCTGGCGCCTTTCCTCGGAAAAGCTCAAAGGCCTTGACCAGTATCCTGTGGAAAACCCCCACGTCCCTGTGAGCTAGAACTGGGTAAACAAGGGGTGGGCAGTCATTTTTGTTTGAGGGGGGCACTCCAAGATTTCTGTGGAGAGAGGGTGGGGGTTGGGTGCAAAAGGGAGCTTGTGGTAGGGGCGTAGGCTGCAGGAGAGGCTGTAGGGTCTGAGAGGGATTTTGGGTGAAGGAGCAAGTGGAGATGGGAGGCAGGGGATTGGGATGCAGGCGTGGAGTTTGACCTGGGAGTCACAGGAGGGGATGCAGACTCTGCGAGCGCATCCACACTGCCAAAGCGGATTGAAAAAGAGATCTGCTTTTTTCGAAAGAGCGCGCCCAGACTGAATGGACGCTCTCTTGCACGTCAGCTGTGTTTGCGATGGACAGAATGGCCACCAGGGCACCTGTGCTTTTCCCTCTCCTTGGGAAAGAACGGGCTCTTCCCCGTCCACACGCGCCTCTTCCCAAAGAGCTCTTTCGCAAAAAGGCTTCTTCCTCGTAGCAAGAGGATCGGCAACACAGGAAAACCCCTCTGTGCTTTCCGAAAAAGCTCTGTAGTTACCCCCCCCCCCCCCGAGAGGGAGTCATGTCCTGGGGGAGCAGGGTTGCATGGTGAGCTGGGGCAGGGATCGGGCTACCGGAGCGGATTCTGGCCTGGGGAAGAGATGAAGGAGGGGGTGCAGGGTCTGAGAGGGAGTCGTGACCTTGGCTGCAGAAGGTTTGGGTGGTGACTTGGGGCAGGGAGTTGGGAGCAGAAGGGGGTGGGATGCCAGAGGAAGGCTCTGGCTGGGGGGCGTTTACCTTGGCTGGCTCCCTGCCAGCAGCCCAGTGAGGCTCCCAAGACGGGCTCTCTGCCTGCCACAAACACAGATTGTTAAAAATAGCTGGAGGCTCCCTCCATGGGCCTCTCTGCGCCGTGCACGCCTGGCCGGGGGTGGGACGCTGCACCTTGCCCCAGCCCAATTGTCGCCGCTCCCACTGGCCTACATGGGAGCCACTAGCTGTTTGGAGCAGCCTCAGGCTCAGGGTCTGGGTGGGGCCCATCAAAAGGCTTGCCAGGCCAGAGCCAGCCCGTGGGCCGTATCTTACCCTCCCTGTGGACGAGACGGAGACGTTGAGGCAAAGGGACCTGGCCAAGGTCACAGAGCAGGGCGGGATCAGAACCTGACTCAGTGTAAGTGCAGCGCCTAGAGGACAGCCTGGCCCAAGAGGACCTAAAACCGTGCCCTGTGGACACGGAGACCCCTGGATTCCTAGACTATTGCGAGTCGCTGGCTGCAGGCTGGAGCGTATGATGCTCGGGCCTGATCCAAAGCCGTTCAGAGTCACCAGGCGGGCTCCCAGGGCCGGCAGGGGGCTTTGGCTCAGGCCGGGGAGGAGGAGACGGAGAGGCTGTGTGTTGAGTCGCGAGACTCAGGAGGAAGGTGGGAGGGGGCACTGACCTCTCCCTTGTCCTTGGAGAGCAGCTGGCCGCAGGACAGGAAGTCTTCGTATTTGGCAAAGGGGATGACGGGCTCCGGCAGCTCTCGGAGGTAAAGCTTCAGGAGCGACGCCACGGTGTGCACGTCCGTGTTGCTGCGACGGGAGAGAGGGACGGATGTTAGAAACCTGCAGGCTGACAGGAGGACAGTCCTGCCACACGTCCAGCCAACGGGCGAGCGTGCCCCAAACCCTCTGCTCCTCGCCGTGCAGCGTGCCGGACAAAGCACTACCCCGGACAGGTAAGCGCCTCCGCTGCTCGGCTGCTTCCGGGCGTGTCCCAACATCCCCGAGGTGTCGAGAGGGCGCGGCCAGGCAGGGCGGGGGAGGGCGGACCCTTGTGGAGTGGGGAGAGCAAGGGGGCTGAAAACACAGCTCTGTGTTCTCTAAAAACCAAACTGATCCAGACGCTGCGCGTGTGTCCGGGCGGAGCTCAGCCGTCCAGCTCTGCCCCGTGGGCTGCCCAGCAGGCGACACCCCGGCCTGGATTCCCCCTTTGGCTTTGGGGGCCCGTGCCAGGTCGTTTGGCGCTTGCGTTTCATACTCTAGCTGGAGCATCTGCCCTTAGCCCTCTGCTCAGGGTTCTGCTGGGGGGCATCCAGACAAGCTGTGCTGGGGGGTGAGCTGCCGGCCTCCTTTGCGGCAGTGGCTCCTCTGTCTGCACATGGAGCAGAGTGCTAGGGAGGGGATTTACTGGGAACGGCCCGACGGGTTCAGCCCCGGACTAACCAGTGTTTGCTCTAAGCTGTGCTACAGTACAGTTTCACAGGTGATTAATCAGCCCCGCCCAGTCAGGGGCTCAGGGCTCCATGCAGGGAACTGTCTGACTGGGGGCGCTGATTAAGCAGCTGCAGGGCTGTGCCGTCACGCAGCTCAGAGGGAACCTTGGTCCTGGGAGCTCGAAGCTGCAGAGGGTGGTGCAAGAACCCTGCAGCGCCAGTTGTGGGACAATCTGCCCCCCACATAGGTCCTGTCCTGGTTTCTAGTAGTTAGAGACTGGATGAAGTCTTGAAACAGGGGATTTAATATCCCTGCTAGAATGAGTCAGGAACTCCGGCTATTCTTGATTTACACAGAAATAGCCACGTGTCCTGACCTCAACAATTTCCTGTTGCAGTGAGTTCCGCAGTTTAATCATATGCGGTGTGAAAATGTATTTCCTTTTACCAGTTTTGAATTTCAGTGTGATCTTTTCTGTAGACCATTCTTTAAGGTATACATTTTTACCACAACCATCTTACTCATCGTTCCCAGGGAACATGCCAGTCTTATCAATCTCTCTTCAGAAGAGTTTGTTCCCCCAGGTCCTTGCTCAGTCTCACTCGTTTTCTCTGAAGCCTCTCTACTTTTGCAGGATTTGCTTTGAGATGGGGCATTCACTGTTGCGGCAGCGTCACAGAGGTAGCTGAAGGTCATCTGCCTCTGTGCTGCCCTTGGCTAGTGCAGGCGTGGCCAACCCGCGGCGTTTGCCCCCCAAAAGTGCGTCTTGCAAAGTTGCTCCTGTGTGCCCCCCCCCAAATGGTCCCCGCCGGCTCCCCTGTGCTTACTGAGTCGGAGCTGTGGGGTTTTAAAAATGGTGCCCAAGATGGTGGCCATCTTAAAGGGGCAGCCTCCTTTTTTTTGTTTTTAATTTTTTTGGTTTTCCTTGACAATTCTATTATGGGTTTTTTTTGGGGGGGCGGGGTTGGCTTGACAATTCTGGTGCGGCTCTTCACCTTTTTTCCACCGCTGTTTTGCTTTGTTAAATGAATTGGCCACCCCTGAGCTAGTGTGTTCTGCTGCTAGCCAGAAGGCCGGTGGTTTCACTTCTACCTGCCTGAAGACAAACCAGGAGGAACTGGCTGTAAGTCTGCAGGTGGAAGTGACCATGGCATGACCAGTGCCATGATTCTAAGGAAAGAAGGCGTGAAAGCAATGGAATAAGGCCAATGGACGTCAGAAAAAAACCCTGGTAGGTAAAGTCCTATGGGAAGAAATCCAAGGGGTAAAGGTGTTCAGGAAAGGTGACAGCTTCCCAAAGAGATTGACATGAAAAGCACAACTGCAAACTATCCTGATGCAAAGGAAAGATAGGAAGAATAGTGAGAAGCCATCATGCCTCCACCAGGAGCTCTTTAATGACCCAGAAATCCTACAAAGGAATCCCGCAAAGAGTGGAAAACTGGACAAACAGCTAAGGAGAATGAAAGAATACACAAGAATGGAAGGACGAAATTGGGAAAGGCGAAGGCAGGAAGTGAGTTATACCTAGCAAGAGACATGGAAGGAAAGGAGACGTTCTTTAACTACGCTGGGAGCAAGAGAAAGATGAAGAAAAAGGTGGAGGTCCTCAGCAAAGAGAGAGAGGTAATAACTGAGGACATCAAGAAGGTGGAAGTCTTGAATTCCTATTTTGCTTCAAGTCTTTCCTAAAAAGGTGAATCGTGAGCAGCACAGTATAAGAGGAGGGAAGGAACACACAGCAGAACAGGGAAAGAACAGGTCGAAGAGTATTTAGGTAAGACAGACGTATTCAAGCCAGCAAGGTCTGCTGAAATCCATCCTAGAATATTTATGGAACTAGCAGAAGCCAGCTTGGAACCATCAGCAATTAGCTAAGAGAACATGTGGAGGATGGGCGCGGTCCCAGAGGGCTGGAGAAGGGAACACGGTAGATTCCTTTTAAAAAGGGAACAAAGAGGAGCTATGGTATTACAGCCCAGTCAGCCTAACTGGGAAAGATACTGGAACCAATTATGAAACTATCAGTGTGCAAGCACTGAGGGGATAATAGGGTTATCAGGAGTAGCCAGCATGGATTTGTCAGGAACAAATCAGGCCAAACAAAGCTAATTTCCTGCTTTGATGGAATTACTGGCCCCGTGGATGGGGAAAAGCAATCAATGGGATAGATTGTGATTTTTAGTGAGGTTTTTGAGACAGTCCCTTATGACATCCCCATCAGCAAACTTTGGAAATGTGGTCTACATGAAATTACTAGAAGGCGGATGCAAAACTGGTTAAGAGCCCCTTTTCAAAAAGCAATGATCAGTGGTTTGCTGCCAAACGGGAAAGGCTTATCTAGTGGAGACTTGCAAGGGTCTGTCTTGTGCCCAGTATGAGTCAAGATTTTCATTAATGATTTGGAAGACAAGAGTGGGGAGGATGAGTGTGCAGCTGACAGTCTGCAGGGGCTGGAGGGCAGTATGGGTATGTCTACACGGCAGGGCTAAACTCAAAATAATCTAAGCAACCTGAGCGACACTAATAGCTCAAAATAGCTTATTTTGAATATGGGCATGGCTACGTGGCACTTTTTCAAAATAGAACACTTCCTCTGACTTCCTTTACTCCTCATGCAACAAGGTTAGCTCAGTGGTTTGAGCTTTGGCCTGCTAAATGCAGGGTTGTGAGTTCAATTCCTGAGATGTCCAAATAGGGAGCTGGAGCAAATCTGTCAGAGGTTTACAGAAGTCGGAGTAAGAAGCCTGTTGTTTTAAATTGATTTTGAAATAATGGGCTTGCTGTGTAGATGCTCACTTCGTTATTTCTGAGTAACTGACGTTATCCCGAAATAACGCTGCTGTGTCGACATGCCCTGTTAGAATTAAAAAACACGTTGACAAATTAAATAATTGGTCCAAAATCCAACAAGATTGAAATTCACTAAAGACAAGTTCCACCTCTAGGAAGGAAAAAAGTCATACGTGATGACAAAATGGGGAGTTAACGAGGTAAATAATAGTACTGCTGAAAAGAATCTGAGGTTATGGCGGATCATAAATTACATACGACAACATGTGCTGAAGTTGCAAAAAGGACTAATCCATCGGACAGGGATGTCGTAGGTAAGACAGGAGAGTAACAGTCCTGCTCGACTTCAACAGGGGCGAGGCCTCATCTGGAGTAGCGTGTCCAGTCTCAGCTGCTACACTTTAACAACCATGTGGGCAACCCATAGAAAGTCCAGAGAAGAGCAATACGGGTATAATTTTTTTTTAGAAAGCTGACCTATGGGAGGAAGCTAATAAACCCGGACAGGTTCAGACTTGAGGGGCTGATAAATCTTCAGGGCTGTTCTAAAGAGGCCAGGAATCAATTGTTCTCCTTGTCCGCTGAAGCAGAACAAGAAGCAATGGGCTTCATCTCCAGCGTTAGGTTAAACATTAGGGAAAGGATAGTTAAATATGGGAATCGGCTCCAGCGAGACTCCGGAATTCCAGGCGCTGCCGGTTTCCCTTTTCGGCTAATGACAACCCAGCCTCTTTTCTGAGCGACAGAACCAATTACAAGCCCTGTCCACTTTCAATCTTTTTTTTTTGTATTCTCTCCCATGTGCCTTCCGCTGCATTTACCAACCCTGAATGTTATTGCAGTGGGGTGCCCGTTCTCCAGCTTGTCGAGGGTGCTCTGAAATTTCCCACCCGTCCTCTCTGATCCTGCAACGTTTCCTGCCCTGTTTCTCGTCCCCCTCCCCCCCAGATCATTCATAAGTAATCAATTAACTGAAATAACTCAAGCAAAGAACACAGACCCCAGCCTGGAAACTTGATGCACCCCGCTGTTAACCTTTAACCATGATGAAAACTGGCCCTTTCCACCTCTCTTCCTTCTCACTCCAGGCCCCTTGATGATCCCTTATGTGGGGCATACGTGCCAGCAACTGGCTCTCCTTTTGTGGTGCCCCTCTTCTGACATGGTCAAAGCGTGCTAAGGAAGGGGCACCTGGGGCCGTGGGGGAGAGCACAGCCCCCAAACACCCTGCTGTTAGGCTTCTTTTTCAGCAGGTTTTGGAAGACTATTGACTCTGTCCCACTGCATGCAAGACACACAGTTGTGGATCTTAATTGATAGGCGGCAGGTTTAAAACAAACAAAAGGAAGTTTTTCTTCACTCAGCGCACAGTCAACCTGTGGAACTCCTTGCCAGAGGATGTGGTGAAGGCTAGAACTTTAACAGGGTTCAAAAAAGAGCTAGATAGATTCATGGAGGTTAGGTCCATCAATGGCTATTAGCCGGATGGGTAGGAATAGTGGCCCTAGCCTCTATTTCTCTGGTGGTGGGTGACATGAAGATTACATGTTGCGATCCCTCTTTCTGGGGCATCTGGTATTGGCCACTGTCGGTAGACAGGATACTGAGCTAGATGGACCTTTGGTCTGACCCAATATGGCCTTTATTATTTTCTTATTTAAAGAAAAACAAATGGTTAACATCAGCCGACTGGCTCTAAGGCCTGTGCTTTTCCAACTGTTCTAATCACTGTCCTGTGAGATACTTCAGCTTATCGCATGCAGGGCTGGATTAAATTGGATGGAAGTCTGCAGATGTTATCATTTCGGGGGCCTTTTGTTGCATAGTCCGTTCTTTCCCTCTGCCCAAGGCATGCCAAACAGGCTCCAATATTCCAGTGATGTCGTGCAACAAACCCTTACACAGACACTGTCCGGCAATACTCAGTGTGCCACTGATCTGATCTAACTTCTCCTTTTCATTCGTTTTAACTCACAGGAAATAAACTGACCCCTCATTTCCCTGTCTCCTTGGCCAAAATGCGGCCACCCCTTTGCACAGCCCCTTTTTCGGCTGCACCCAATCAAGGTATGGAATGAGCCCCTCAATTTCTCACCCCTTTGTGTGGTGCAAGTGTCTAAGGGCCTGAACCAGCGCCTGCCACTGGCCGTCAAAACCCAGCCACGCGCTCTAGCGCCAACGCCTTTCATTGGAAACGACACGCTTCTAAACGGAATGCGGGCTGGGGCACTGCGAAACCCAGCAAGCCTGTTTCCATCAGTTCTGCCTCTGCCACCCGTGGCCCAACCCGCTGTCTGCTCTGCCCCCTGGGAGTTCCCTCTCTGCTCCCACGGGGTTCTTCACACCCCTCCAAGCTGCCGCAGGGCGCCCTCCCCTTCCAGACGGGCGCTCCAGGGGTTTTGCACGCCCCTGCTTCCCGGGCCAGGTGCTACAGGGAGAAAGGGGGCAGGAGCAAAGGGGTGCTCCACGCTCCTAGGCAGGAAGGGCAGGAGTGGACACGGAGCCATCTTGAGCTGCCAGACTCCTCCTGCTCCCTCTTCTCCCCTCCCCTTCTGCTCCCGCCCCCTCCCCCCCCTTCCAGACGGGCGCTCCAGGGGTTTTGCACGCCCCTGCTTCCCGGGCCAGGTGCTACAGGGAGAAAGGGGGCAGGAGCAAAGGGGTGCTCCACGCTCCTAGGCAGGAAGGGCAGGAGTGGACACGGAGCCATCTTGAGCTGCCAGACTCCTCCTGCTCCCTCTTCTCCCCTCCCCTTCTGCTCCCGCCCCCTCCCCATGCACCAGGGTGAGGCTGCATGCCAGGGGTGGGTGCGGCCCAGGGGCGTCCTTCCCCCCCCCCGGGCAGCCCCAAAGGCAAGCGACTGGCTCTCCCTGAAAGCTGCAGCGACGTATTCCCCTCTGGCGCAGATCACGCCAGTCGCACTCAGACCCGGGTGGAAAAGAGCAGGAGGACCAGAAGCTGAAATCCCCCTCCCCCTTAGCAGGTGCTTCTCTCTGCCTCCACCACAGTGTGCTACCCACCCCTTTAGCCCCCCCACTCTGCCCCTCATCAATGCCCCCCACGCCCATGCCCTGCTCCATTAGCCAGATTTTAACCCACTGACTGTGCCCCATGCTAACTGCATAGCAGTTAATTTTTAAATCAAAATGCCGTTCGGTACCAGGGCCAATGCCTCGGCACACGACGACCATCATCCACCAAACTTGTAAAAAATCCAAATTGGTTTGCCTGGATCTGTTTTATAATATTACCCTCCTTTAATTCTTTCTTCACTGAGCCTCATTTCAGCCCCAGCTCAGTGTCAGACGGACACAAGTATATTAGCAGCGGCATCTCATTTACGCCTTGGAAAAATTGTCACAACACGAGCGCTCTTGTATTCCCGGGCAACTTCCCCCGTGTTTCAAGACTTACTGGAAATCAACAACAACAGTCAAGCAAGCTCCTCTGGGAGGAAAGTTACCTGGACCCACCCATGTAAAAATGTCGACCTTTAGCACGTGCGGTGAAACCGCTTACCCTATACTAATGGGAAAGATGTTCTTGCTCAATGAGATAACATCTGGGTTTTACCCATGTAAAGAAAAGAAATACGTATTCAAGACGCCTGCCTCTTTTCTGCGTTATTCAGTCCTGGGAAACTCTGCAATTTTACTATGGCACCAAATGCAACAACTGCAGGAGTAATTAGCATTGATAATTCTACCATTTCCATCTAGCAATAGGCCAGTACTATTGGTAGGATATACTTCGAAAATGCCTTATTGTCCTTCACGCTGCCGCGCGCAGCTTTGCTTCCCTTATCAATGTTCTGTCATTCTTAAGGAATATAAATCAGCAGTTCTGTAGCAGGGGACTGGTGCAAGCCCCTCCCTGGCAGCACCAATCAAGGGGGACAGATTGGGGCTGATGAAAAGGCCTGATGCCTGACGGAGGAACCACAACAGCTGCCGAGCCAAGAGCAATAAAGACTAGGAAGGAGCCAGAAAAGAGTGCATGTGAGAGAGAGAAAGAATACTTCCCCTTTAAACCAGGGTATTTTTTAACCAATATGGCCACCTCCTTCAATTTTGGCTTTTGGGGCATCTAAGCAAATGTTCTAAACAACTCCCAGCCCCCACTCCCGTTTTTCTCATTACATTATTCCTGGCAGCAGACCGGACACAAACTTGTTTCCTGCTTTGGGAAACAGGCTTTTTAAAGCACCAGGTGTACACACGTATCGTCACCGAGCTGGACTTTATTCTGTTTGCACATTATGAATGTGATCAAATTATGACGATTTGTTCCTAAGCTACCATTCATTTTCAGTTCTGCGATCAGTCCCTGTTTATCAGTTATGACAGGGGCTAATGCAGAGGAGGGATGTAAAATCCAGGCTCATCGGTTCACCATTTAAACGCTATGGCTGTGTCTAGACTGGCCAGTTTTTCCGGAAAATCAGCCGCTTTTCCGGAAAAACTTGCCAGCTGTCTACACTGGTTGCTTGAATTTCCGCAAAAGCACTGACTTCCTACTGTCTGAAATCAGTGCTTCTTGCGGAAATACTATCCTGCTCTCGTTCGGGCAAAAGTCCTTTTGCGCAAAACTCTTGCAAAAAGGGCCAGTGTAGACAGCTCAGATTTGTTTTCCGCAAAAAAACCCCGATGGCAAAAATGGCGATCAGGGCTTTTTTGCGGAAAAGCGCGTCTAGATTGGCCACGGACGCTTTCAACCAAAAGTGCTTTTGCGGAAAAGCGTCCGTGTCAATCTGGACACTCTGTTCTGAAAATGCTTTTAACAGAAAACTTTTCCGTTAAAAGCATTTCCGGAAAATCATGCCAGTCTAGACGCAGCCCCTGTGTAACTGGTTAATCGATTAATCGGGGTGGGAGGGCGCTGCTCCAGCAGGGCTGGAGCAATCTCCTGGCCACAGCAGATCAGGGTCTGCTTCAGCCCCCCAGCAAACCGGTATGTATCACCCGGTAAGGCTGATACTTACCAGTTAACCGTTCACATGCCTAACACAAGGTTGCCCGGGGTTAGCTGCAACCAGTGCTCCCTCGAATGTGTTACAGCCTTGTGTGGAATGAATTTTCTGTGCACCGATCTGGAGGTGGCGTGTGGTGGGAGGGGGGCCGAGGAGTGTGGGGGGGCTCAGGAATGGGGAGGAAGGTTGGGTGCAGGGGATGAGGGCTGTGGGGGGGGAGCGGGTAGGCTCTGAGGCGAGGCCGGGGTTGCCCGCTCAGTCTGCTAGACAGTCTGTAAGAAGGAGCTAAAATTGGACCCATCTGTAAAATCTGTAAACGGCGTTTAGACGGCAGTAAAAAGCCACTGAGCTGAGGAGCCCCCCGCCCCCCACAAGTCCCGGGGCAGGCGTAGGGAGGGGAATTCTGGGGCTCCCTCCGACTTGAAGCTGGCGGGGGAGTGTGTGTGTGTGGGGGGGGGATGCCTCTTCTCTGCTGTCACCAGCAGCAACTCCGGGCTCCCCCACAACTGGCTGGGGGGGTGAGTGACCAGGGTACAGCAGGTCTAGTGCACCAGTCCCCACTGGGAAGTCTCAGTGGGTCGGTTACTGGTGGCAGCCCCAGACCCAGGCAGGCGAGTGGCTCTTGGGCGTTCCCCCCCCAGGGTGGGAGGCAGGGCCGGGGGGCGGGTGGGGCTGGACAGGTGGCCCTTGATAAGTCAGGCATTAGCGACGTCGGTGCCCGGTTGCCAGCCTCCAGGACGGACCTGGACTCCCAGAATCGGCCCCGATCCCCTGGTGACTATTGAGCGCGAAGCCGGAGATCTGGGTGGGAAAAGGACATTACACCGCGCTGGGGGGGGATCTCCCGGATTAGCTCCAGGCACAGCTGGCAACCCCTGTGTCTGGGATCGTACCGGCACCTGGGCTGTCACAGCGACACGTTAACAACCCGGCGCGTGCCTGGCTCACCTGTCGAAGAGGGGCTTCTCGCCGCAGTCAAAGGAGTCCTGCAGGTCCTTGACAAGGTTGGCTTGGCCGGGCATGCGGAAGAGCCCTTCTTCAGTGAGGCCGCGCTCCCGGATAAAGTCCACGCATTGCTCCACCAGCAGCGGGGCCAGCCGCAGGCCGTACTTCCGCTCGTACTGCACCGTGTCCTCCAGCCGCTGCCCGAAGATCCCTGCCGGTGAGAGACACTCCCTGCCGTGAACGGGAATCCCCCGACAGCCAGGCCTGGCTGCATTTCACAGGACGGGAACTCCCAGGATCAGCAAAAACCAACCAGGGAAAACAACCAACGGTTTTAGTCTCCGTGGAATGAAAAACACAAAAGGCCAAATTCTGCCCTGGTTCTCAACCTGCAGCCAGTCGGCACGGAGCCATGGCCCACGTGACAGCTGCCGGGCCACGGGTGGAACTGGAGGCAGCCACGTAACACGCTGGGCGGCGAATAGGTGGAGAACCACTGGCCCAGCGTTGCCACTGTGGTCCTCGGTAGCTGCCCAGCTAAGGACACGATCTCCTCCCGAGGAGGTATAAAGGAATTCAGCAGCGGTCGGGATGAGCTGCCTCGGTTCTCCAGCTCCACGTGCGACTGAGTAATTGACACAAGCACCTTCCGTCCCCCTTTGCGAGTGGATGCAGCGATGTGGGGCATCAGGCCGTACCAAAGGCACCTGCCCCAGGGGAGAGACAGCTACTGCTTACCAGCTCAGCCCAGCCCAGGCAACCAGCTGGGGCAAGCAACGAAGCCCTAACGCCCCGATGGGGACTGGCAAGAAGGCCACGCTGGGACCGGCCAGAGACGCAAGAACAGGGGTAAACCCCTCGCTGCTGCAAACGACCCTGCCTCACCAGCGCCCTCCCGTTCGCTTCTCGTTTCAACCGTCTCAGCCAGTCTCCCCTGCAGCCTCCCTGTGACTAGTCAGCGGGTGCAAACATCTGGCCAGTGACAGCCCCTTGGAATTAAGGCGCAGGCTGGACAAATCGTGGCCCTTGTGTACCAGCTCTGCAGAGCACACCCTGGAAGGGGTACGGGGAGGGCCGGCCGGCACGGGGAGCAGCCAGGGAAGCACTGACCACCCTGGGAAACGCTGCCAGCGGGGCTGGTCAGAACCCACACACACGTCCGAGGCAGGGGGGAGCTGATGCAGAGCCAATCCTTTCCATCTCTGCCACTGGCCCACGGCATATCCCCCGCCCAACCCCACAGGCACCGCTGGGATCCGGAGACTCCACAGGGCCTCTCACGAATCGTCCGCCCCGAAGAGTCAGCAGCGAACCAAGCCCAGGGCCCGTCGGGCCTGTTCTGCGCATAAGTGACGCTACGCCAGACCTCAGCGAACCGCGCTGATTGTGGGGCTCGGGGGGGTGCCGTGCGCTACTGGGACGGCCCCCTCGCCCGGGCCGCTGCAGGACTCGGAGCAGGAAGTGTCCCAGCCACCGTGTGCTGTCTTCCAGTGGAGCTGCCGCACGAGTTTGGGTGCAGGGTCCACATTTGGCGCATCCTTGCACCCTCCTTGCTAAGACCCTTCCCACCCGCCTCAAGGGAGATGTACCTGAATCGTGTGCAGGATTGGGCCCGCTCGCCCAGGGCCCTGTCCCTGTAGCGATCAGTAATTGATGCGTCGGAATAAGACTTAACCTCCCCCCACCCATAATATACCTACTTGTGCATTCCTGTGTCGCGGTGGGTAGGCAGGAAGGAATTCCCCTCCTGACCCCAGCGGGCAGTTTCTGCCCTGCAGCACTGGCCAATCCGAACCAGTGCACCAGCGGAATTAAATTCTTATCACTATCAGTGTCTAATGTCCCTGTGAAGTCTCGGTGAGCTGAATGCCTCAGTAATATCCTGGGGCAGGGAGTTCCGCAGATGAATGATAAACTCTGTAAAAACTTTTCTTTAAGCTGCTGCCTTTCAAACTAATCATGCAGCTGCTTCGCCTTGTGTTACGGTTCAGGGCAAGCGGCAGTGCCTGTTCTATGGCACGTAGCGTTGGATGTGGTTCTAAGAGAGGTCTCCTTTAAAAAACAAAACACTCCCCCTGTTAAGTAAATGGCAAAAGGTGCCAGAGTCCCCACAGCGCCCAACACTTTAG